TTAATGGATATAAGAAAAAATGCGATATCTATGAACTAATAAATTATAAATACATACCTATACATATAAAATAGAATTAAGATATTATAGATAAAATTACAATGTGAATAAAAACAATAATGAAAGCAGTAAAACGTACATAGAAGTAAAATACAAATATAATTTATATAAAATATAAATATAAAAATAAGAGACCATACATTGCAGCACTAATTCAGAAGTCTAGCGAAGAAAAAAATGAGTAATTTTAATTATAATTAGTTGTACATATTGTAAGAAAATTACATTTAAATATTAGATAATATTGAGATATAATGGTTAAAAGTACAATGAATAGAAAGTAAAAACGAATGATCATACATTGATGTAGTATGTAAATATAAAATTAAAAAAAAAGAGAGATCATACAAAGCGGAAATACTTAAAAATAATGAACTTTTAAATTAAATTAATCAATGAAAATTGAAAATAAAAAAGTTATTTTCCACTTATAAGATTTAAAATGTGTCTATATGTTAAAGAAATGCAGTTTTTATCTGCTTCATGATTAATAGGATTCTATTCCATGTGGATTCGGAGACTGTGGCAAGAATAAAGTTTTTTTCAAAATCAAATATTCTGTATGTTCTGATAGCATGGAGGCGGGAGGATTCCGGGAAGTTATGGATATTTTATATTGAGAAAAACGGATTTTGAGATGGTTTTTGGTTTCGTCAATATCGGAACTATAACAATTAGGAGTAGTTCATAAAATAATTCAATTATTATTAATCTGGCGCCCCTAAATACACAACAAAATAATAAACGAAATAAGATATATTTAAAAAAAAAATAATTAACAGGCGAAATACGACTATTAGCCCGGAAATATACGATTTTTACAAAAAAAAATTCAATTGGCCAGAGGGTATGTGTTCTGAGACCTCCTCAAGAGGCTGTTGTTGCCTCTGTGATGTTTATGGATGCTGCGGGAGGCGGTGAAAAGAAATATGTAAAAGTTGAATGGCCAGACACAGAAGGTGTAGTATTGGGAAAGATAGTGTCGATAGATGATGTCTTTCCCGCATTGTCAAATGTTCTCCAGAATGTCGCAGGGGCGAATAGGGAGCAGGAGGACGAAGTTCTACGGCCTGATAATAAAGTTTGTTCCATATGTGGGCTTTCTTTTAAGGGTGAAAGAGGTTTTGCAAAAAAGCCATTAAAAAAACATCAATATCAAATATTATTAAAACAATTGCAGAGATAATGCTGAAGGTGGCCTTCCTAATGTCCCAGAACCACTTTGAAGCACAATATTAATATATAAGGGCAAAGGTGATATAAACAATATCGATACCTGAAGACCTATCACCGTTCATTCTATTGTGCGCCGAATCATAGAGGAGATTCTGGATCACAAATTAAGAAAGCAGGTCACGTTCCACAGGTATAAAAGAGGCTTTATAAAAGGCCTCTCGGGAACGCCCGTCAACCCAAGGATTATCGACGCTATATTAAAAGATGAAAAATTATTGTGCGGTAATCTTCCTTGACGTTGTCGGTGCTTTTGACAAAATTGACCACAATCATATCCTGAGCTCCTTAGAAGCAAGAGGTGTCTCGCCAGATCTTAAACATGTTATATCGGCTGTCCTCTGCACGAACACAATCAAGATTAGTAACGGTGTTCACGCAACTAGCCAAATCAAAGTGCTGCGCGGAGTACCCCAAGGCGATCCCTTGTCGTCGTCGCTCTTCAACCTCTGGCCATCGATCATCTCTATCGGGACCTGTGCGATGAAGATTTTTCCAAAAAATTTGGATATAAGTTAAAAAATCAGGTTCATTTGGTGCTCACAGATTTCGCGGATGACCAGGCCATTTCGGCGCGTGACAAAGGGGCTGCAGAAAGAGTGATCGTCAGCGTACAGAGGACGTTTGAGGTAATTGGTTTGGCTATATATCCTCAAAAAAGCGTGTTCATCGTTCTAAGTAAAGGAGAGCTGAAAACAGCGGTGTTCTCTTTTGAGAATGGAGATACGATCAAGTATTTAGGATGTACATTCTTGGGAGAGCTACAGTTCAACGAATATTTGGTGGCCAAATTGAACGAAAACCTTAATAAACTTTTAACTTATTCCTTCTTTAAGGAGCAGAAGCTAAACATCGTCAATCAGTATCTGTCCCCGGGTATTATTACCCTCTCCAAACTGAGCCCCTCACAAACCTGCGTCCTGCCATACTTGACGTCATCAACATCATGATTCGCGGGAGTGTGAAGGCTATTGTTGGACTCCCTGCGAACACCTTCACGGCGATGTTATACGATCCCAGGAGATATCGAGGATTAGGATTAATCTGCTGCCAATGGGAGGGTCCTCTACAACATTGGTCCATTGGTCAGCGACTATCCAATATTTCCGATGCCCTTTTCCAATCAATTTTCGATGATTCGGCTGAGGTTGCTGAAAGTGCCGAGAGATATGATGTTGATCGTAGTATTCGGAATATGAGAGCTCTACGGCAGTCGCTACGAGAAAATTCGTTTGAGAAATGGGCCAACTGCAAGTGACAGGGTATTTGAATTCGCCATTTTAAAGAGACCCCAAAAGCGAATAAATACATGTACGATAAGCAAATAATTTCTAGGTCGGAATAATCAAATGCCCTGAAACTAAATATTAATTATACACCTCTGCGTGGAGTCCCAGGTGTCAGCGGACAGGTAAGAGAAGTTGGGTCCCTCTGTCGCAAATGAGAGAGAGAGATAGTAACACCAGCACATGTGCTTGGAAAATGCCCCCAACAACTCCCTCCTTAAAACACGCCGTCCCCACAAAATCGAACATGAACTGATGAGGCTCCTTAAAGAGAGAGATTATGCCTGTTTCGAGAAAGTATATTACATCGATACGGGTGGATCCACCCGATATGCCGACATTGTAACATTCCGTAAGACGGGAAAGTCGGCGATGATTTTGGATCCAACAGTGAGATATGAAACCAATGACCTCTATCAGGCAGGCAAAGTGGAAAGACAGAAAAAACAGACGTATGAGAAATCTCTTTCCTTCGTGAAAAGTTCCGCGAGAGTTTCAGGTTGAGAGAGTTCCACGTGAGAGGCCTTTGGTCGGAGCTCGAGGAACGATACCAGACTCAACAAGGAGCTTCATGGAGGGTCTTGGTGTCGACATAAAGGACGTGGTAAGGTTGGCAGAGAATATAATCCTCGAATCTCTGGGAATCATCCACCACTATGTGTATGGGAGCGGATAGGGAGAGAGTTTGTTCATGGGAGGGAGGGAGGCATGCGTGTTACAGCATTTTTATATTATTTATTGAAGACGTCCACTGTACTTTATGTATTTGTATGCATTCTATGAATTAGGTTAGGATGAGAGATGAGGGAATATGAGGAGGAGTAAGAAAAATGTATAAGGGGAGAGAAGGACGAGAAAGGGATGTAGAATACTAATAAATGAATGAAAGAAATTGTCAAGAAAAAATAAATAATAATAAAGAAAAAATAAATAAATAAAATATAAAAAATAATATATATACATATATAATATACTATGCTCATATATATTGTTAATAAGTATGCTGTATTTGTAGCAACCCAATGTAATTGGGCAGCGCCCTTTTATGAAAATAAAGTGATTCTCTCCTGGCCCTTATAATTTTTTTAAATTATTTTAACTTGGCACCTATTCCCCTTGCCTTTTGACAGTATTCTTAGTCAGTAAATAAAAACACAGAGAAAATTGAAAATATCATTGTATCAAAGAAACACAAAATCAGAACAGACAATTAACTTAATACTTCTTAAAGAGTAAAATCAAATTTCTAATTTTTTTTTTCTTTTCTTTTTGGCGAAACGATCTATAACATTCGCCACATTTACGTTTAAATCACGATGAACCAGAAAGAGAGCAAGACCTGAAAATTCTAACAAGAAAATTTAACTTATTTTTGAAAAAGTGTTAAAATTAACAAATTCATAAATATTTTCTGGACAATAATATAATGATTTTTTTTCGGAGCATAACCATGCTGTTACATATGTTACCTGTGAGCATTTCTTCACTCATTCTTGATATTCTCCAGCTTTTTCATCTGCAGAGAAACCCCGCTCCACGGATGCAACCTAAATTACGATACGATTTTCCATCGCAGCTAGGGTTGGCATCATTGCTCTTGTCGATCATCTTAAAATCCTTATACGTAGCACTTTTTTTTTTAGAGATAATATTTCGTTAAATAGATTTAGAATCATTGTTTCTGTAACTACGGAAAATAAAGTACTGTATTTTTCTCAAATTGTAGATATGACATTACTCAAAATCATAATGTCTGAAATTTCATGTAATTTGGTAGGTATTAGGGTGTATAGGCCACGGGCGGATCTACGGGAGGGAGGGGGGGGGGGCTTTCGGGCTGAAGCCCCCCCCAAATGGAAAAATATAACCATGTTTTATGGGGAAAAAATTTAAAAAATACCTCTTAAAGTATTATTTTTCGTGTAATTACATTTAAAAGTACTTAAAGAATAACTTAAACACCATTTCATATAGGTAGTTAGTTTCTGTCTGTTTTTCCAAAGTAATTATCGTTATTTTTATGAAAAAAAAAGGTTTCGGGCTGAAGCCCCCCTGGATCCACTAGTGGTATAGGCCAAAACATTGTACTGAATCATCTTCAAACCCAACTTTGAGGTCTGCAATTATGTAGTCCAGAATAGGTATTTACACTGAACCTTTCCAGTATGATTCAGGATCATTATAGCTTTCCCTTAAATACTTGGTTCTATTTGATTGCCTTTTTGCTAATCGTGGCACATGGATAATCACATCCATACAGGATTTAGCATTATAGTAATACGTCACAATTTTTTATTTTTTCTTACAAAACCTCTATGGCTCGTTTGATTTTTTTTGGTAGCTCGGTAAATGCCAATGCTAATTTCTTGCAGATATTGACTGAGGGTTACTGTGCTTGCTAAAACATCGCTTAAACAATTAATGCTAATTATAAAGTCACAGTTTGCAATAGCATGGAATAGGCAATTAGCCTTTGCAGCGGCAACATTGTCATCCCAACCAGCAATTTGGCTTAAGGTATCGCTTATTTTGGACAAATCTTGCTGAAATTGTATAACCTCGTTGTGGCGCTCAACCCATCTGGTTTCTCAATAATTTCCAATTTGGTATCCTAATAAATTTTTCAGAACATAATTTTGCTGATATGCTGAAAAACACGGCCACTTCTTTCATCGTTCCTAATAAATTCCTGACACTTTGAAACCTGTTGGTTTTGGAAATTGACAAATTCATTGCGTGATTTATGCAAATATAAATAGTACACAGTTTTGCTGTCCTTTTTATTTTTGCCACAGCAACTCCAACTGCAGAAATATTAACGCTGCAACAATCACAACCGACGTCGATGAAATCGTTTTCAATCCAGTTGTCTCCACGAATGACTCATGAAGGTCTAGGAATCCTACAAAATCTTCTCAAATAGAATTCTTATAAACCTACCGAAAAAATAAACTTAACTGCGGTGTATGAGAAATGCCAGTTGTCTCATTAAAAAGTATGCTATAGTATTTAGCATTACTTACTCTCCGCGTGATTTCACATACAATTTCTTCTCCACAGCAATGAATTATTTCATTGGCTGTTGCTTTACTTATGTATGTAGCATAAGCTTTGGTACCTTTTAGATGGGCTTCAAGCTGTAAATCGCCACTATCGACCCTAAAGCGCAATAAAGATCTAAAATTACCATCATTTGTAGCAGGCTCTTCATCAATGTCTACTATTTAGCATCATTAGGATGGTATGTTTTGCCTGTCATGTTGAATAACAGTTTTGACTATTGGGGCTGACGGAGACCGATTTTCTGTAACTTGTGTTCTCCTAGCCTTACTTAACACGTTCCTTACATCTTTTTGAGGATTTTCAAAAATTGAAATAAAGATTTCCCCATCCGATCAACATTTTTATGATACGAATAGGAGGCATGAGCCTGCAAGACACCTTCTTTGCCAGTTAATTTTGCATATTTGTTCAATGGTTCCCAAAGTAATTTTTTGAGAGGCACTGTTTGTTGACCTCCACCTAATTTGTTATTACAAAATATAGCATAATACAAAAAAGGCCTTTTTTTTCATCAGAAAATACCAACCAAGGGAACTTTTGCAAATTTTTATGATTTACTCGTCTTTTCTCTTCATGGCATTTTTTAACGTGACTAGAAGAGGGAAAACTGTAATCTTTATCCGGAATCCAGAGATCCGTCAATATTTTAAGTTTAGTAGTATCAAATAACTTCTCCATTTTACCAACATGTGCAACAATATCTCGTGATATTACACAGGTAGATTTATTGTATTCACTAACTTCGGTATTTGTAAATAGCAAACCTTCAGTTGACGTTGATGGTATTACTTCCTTAATCAAGATTTGGTTTGGATGATTAGAAGATTGATCTTCAAATTTACGTTTCTTGACTATGAACCGATCCATTATAAATAATAATTTAAATTTAAAAAAAGTTAATTTAAAGATAACCACTTAAAAATGATTAATGTATTAAGTTTAAAATTTATTGGAAGTTTAAAATTAAGACAACTGAATAAAACAATATTCGTTGTTCATAACTCACTCAGACAACTTAGAATGATAGAATTCAACAATGATAGAACATAGAACAATGGTGCCTATTCTTCCATCCGATATCAGTATGTTTTCTCCTTTTTTAATAATAATTTTCCCTCAGCACCCAACAATTTTTATAACAGGTTTTGTTGAATGCCCATGTAATTTATTTTTTAAATTATCCATATTTTAAGATTCATGATATTATTCTAACATTGAATCTTATTTTGGAGGATGGGAAACGAAATCAGGTCTATTTGTTGTAATGAACGCGGATAGGAATAATTGAATATTGACTAATTAATGTGAATTTTAAATCCAAAAGAAAGGGTTTGTTGTTTTGTTCTAGGTGGAGGTGGGGGATATGAATAGTGGTAGGAAAATGGGTAGGAGAAGCACCTGTTACAGAGCTGTGCGAGAAAGATTGGCTAGTCCTAAGGACCTAGTAACACTACTGAGTTTGAATGATCACCCCCTCCCCTGTACCACGCATTTAGACTGCACTGCCAGGAACAAGATGATCTTAATTCCAACTGGGCGAAGAAATGAAAAAAAAAAAAAAAAGAATCAATAAATTTTTCCTGTTTTATCCACCTCAATTCACTCAAGTAATTTTTTCATCAAACTTCATCTCACTTGTGCCACCTTGAGTGTCAAACTTTAAAACCACAATGACACTAGGAGGAAATAAAATAAAACTAAGTCTTGAGAATTCGTACTTTTAAGTCCTTATTATTTCCTGATAAGGGGGCCCCAATTCAGACTGGTTAAAGGGCCTGCCAGGTATGTTTTATGGTCAACCATATATAAAACACATTCTTACAGGAATTTCTTAAGGAACCAATTTTCTAATAACTGTTGCATATAGATTAAGTTAAGTAACAACAGTTTTTTTCTGAGCCAGTATACTACAGAACAACACAGTGACCAGGATTAAACTGTATAATAACAAAAAAAAAGTAAAAACTAAGCATGTTGGAATGAGAGCTACGGAGAGCCAGAATATTGTTCTTCAAGCGAATCTCACCCAGGATCTGTCAGATAGAGACGGGCATCCTCAGAGTACTGAGTACCAATTATTTTACCCAAATACTGACCTTTTTTAGTACCAACGAATTTAATTATTACTTAAGTTGGTGTCATACGATTAACTGAAGAAGTGATTGAATTCCCATTAGTGATTCAATTTGAGTAAAATGCTTGGTACTCGGTACTCAGTGGCAAGAACATCCACAAAGCCACTTGGAGATCGCCAAACGGGACAGTCATGAACCAAATAGACCACATTTTAATTAGCTCACGCCACAGATCTAACCTTATTGAAGTTAGAGTCTACAGGGGCGCAAACATCGACTCGGATCATTTCTTGAGCATCGCCAGGATCCGCCCTCGAATATCAACGAAAAGATATGTAGCAGCTGGTTCGTCCCAACAGAAATATGATGTAATATCCAAACTAAAAGACATGGAACAGTGCATAACATACCGGCAGCGATTGGAAATTAAACTAGTCAAGGAGTTGAGAGAGAGAGCAGAGACAGTGGATGATCAGTGGGCAGGAATAGCCGAAGCTCTCAAAGATCCAGCAAAGGAGACGCTCGGACCTCAAACAAGGAAGGCCAGGACAACGTGGTTCGACAATGACTGCCTAGAATGCACAACTCGGAAGAACGAGGCATATAAGAAGAGGATCCAACGTTACACACGGCGATCACAGGAGGAGTACAGAAACAGGAGAAGGGAGGAAAAGAAGATCCACCGCATAAAGAAAAGAAAAGAACATGGGAGAGTAAAAGAATGGAGGACGTTGAAACCCACAGAACTCTACATGAAAGTAGGCTATTCTTTAAGAAGGTGAATGAAGGGAGGTCCGTTTAAACTGAGTCCCCTTCTGCAAGGATTCAGATGGAAATCCCCTGACAGAAAAGGGAGAGATCCTGGAGAGATGGAGGCAGTACTTTGGAAAAGTCCTTCATCAAGACGAAGCAGATGAGGAAGTCAGCATCATCTCAAGGGCGGAAGACCTCTCAAACGATGCTGAACCACCAGACCACGAAGAAGTCGAGGCGGCTGTTATGAAGCTAAAGAATAACAAAGCCCCTGGACTAAACGGCATACAAGCGGAGATTCGCTACGTGGCAAGAACTGTAAGGAACTCCACAACCTCATCCTTACAATATGGGAAGAAGAAAGGATGCCACAAGTTTGGAGACGAGGAGTTATTTGCCAGCTTCATTAGAAGGGAGACCAAACGGAGTGCGACAACTACAAGGGTACTGTCCTCCTTTCGAGTGCCTACAAGGTGATGTCAAAAATGCTTTTCGAGAGACTCACTCCCCATGCTGAAAGAGAAATAGGGAACTACCAGGCTGGATTCAGAAGGGGTAGGTCAACCACGGACCAGATCTTCTCCCTGAGAATGATTCTGGAAAAAGCCAAGGAATACAGGATGGTTACGCACCACCTCTTTCTGGATTTCAAGTCTGGGTACGATAGTGAAAACAGACCCGAGCTCTACCAGACACTAGAAGAAATGGGCATACCCAGGAAGCTGATTCGTCTGGTGATGTTGGGGTTGAATCAGTGTAGTCGAACAGCGTAGTTCATATCGGATCTGACCTCTCTGAACCTATTGCCACAAACATCGGCGTGAGACAGGGAGATGCCCTTGCATGCCTTCTCTTTAATTTGGTGGTGGAGCGAGCAGTACGCAGATCAAGGATCCAAACACGGGCCACCTTATTCAACAGTATGATCCAGTTACTGGGGTATGCAGATGACTTCGACATAGCTGCCAGATCTGAGTGTGCCCTAAAAGAAGCATTCCTGGCTCTAGAAGAAGAAACCAAAATTCTTGGCTTGGTCATCAACGAAGCCAAGACAAAGTATTTAAGAATAGGACCATCAGAGGTAGGGACAGGTTTTTTCGAAGTTGGACCATATAGATTTGAGAGAGTGCAAAGTTTCGTATACCTGGGCTCAGAAATAAACACTCAAAATGACATATCCCAGGAGATCAACCGAAGAACTGCCGCAGCCAATCGAAGCTATTTTGGGCTAGCAAAATACTTCAAAAGCAGACACCTCTCCAACAAGACCAAGATCGGCCTACTATATAAGACCCTGATTCGTCCGGTACTTACGTATGGGTCAGAGACCTGGGCCTTCACTAGAGCCAGTGAGAACCTCCTTCTGGTGTTTGAACGGAAGATATTGAGAAGAATTTTTGGCCTGGTTCGAGAGGGAGACACCTGGATAAGGAGGAAGAATCAGGAACTCTCAAGACTGTACAGAGATCCTGATATCATCAAGTGGATCAAGATTGGGAGACTCCGATGGGCGGGCCACGTGGCAAGAATGAAGGAGGACGAGATCCCTAAGAGGACATTGGCTGAAGAGCTTCATGGCAAGTGAAGAGTGGGTAGACCAAATGTGAGGTGGGCTGACTCCATCACAGCGGACGCACGCGGTCTCCTCGGCGTTAGGAACTGGAGAGCTGCAGCAACAGATAGAGCCAACTGGCGGAGACTTTTGGAGGAGGCCTAGACCCGTTGACGGGTTGTTGCGCCAACTATGATGATGACTAAGAAATGAATTTGAATACTCCCATTTATTCTGGTAATTATGGATTATTATGCAATTATAGGTTATTAGACATCAACCTCTAAATAACAGCGAAAGGTTGACAAAAACTACCAAAAGGACCACTTTTCAGATTAGTTTCAACCACCACTACCATAACTCTCAATTCAGGAAATAATCCTTGGACTTCAAATACAAGAGAAAACAGATGAATAGTACCTTTAATTATTTGATGTTGTTTGTATTTTGTTTTGAAATTTTTTTCAATAGGAATAATAATAATAATAATAAGGCTTAGCGAACCCGAAGGTTCGATGCCGACACCACCAATCGCTTGTTACACACCTCCCTCCACCGTTCGCCGTCCAAACCCAGTCCCTTCAGATCGGCTTTAATGCAATCCTCCCATCTTCGCTTCGGTCTACCCCTCGGACGCCTACCATTCGGCACAGCAAATATTAACCTTTTAGGAATTCTCTCGTTACTAAGCCCAACAACTTTACAAGCCCATTTGATTCGTCGCGATGAAATTACCTCAATTATATTACCCGGATACATCTCACGCAATTCGGCGTTATGTAACCGTCTGAACTCTCCGGTTAACTCATCCTTTTTCGGTCCGAATATTCTACGCAATACTTTATTTTCAAAAACCTTAAGACGCTGCTCATCCCTTAATGTAAGCGGCCAAGTTTCGCATCCATAAAGAACTGTAGGTAAGATAATTGTTTTATAGATTCTAATTTTTAAGTTTCGGGACAAGAGGCGCGAACTAAGTAGTTTTGTCACAGAAAAATAACAAGCATTCCCCGCCTTCAGTCTAACCTTAATCTCTTCTTCAATTTCGTTTTTTCTAGTTATCGTAGAACCTAGATACCTAAATTTATCTACCTGTTCAAACATATTATCATCTATATCGATATCACCAGTAGTATCGCCATTTTTGCAGCTAACCATATATTTTGTTTTATCCACGTTTATTTCGAGTCCTAGTTCTTTCCCGGCTTTCATTAACGTTGTCGTATTTAGTTTTATAGTTTCAACGTCTTCGCTTAACAGTACCAGATCATCAGCATAGCCCAGCACGGATGTTGTCCCGCCCAGATCCAACCCTTTCTCGGTTCGCATTACTTCCCTAATGGCATGTTCTAATGCCAAATTGAACAGGACAGGCGAAAGAGAATCCCCCTGTTTTAAGCCCGAACGAACCTCAAATTTTTCGGACAAATTATTACCGATTCTAACTTTATTGAGTGTCTCCGTCAAGCACATCCTGACTAGATTTACTAGTTTTTTTGGAATCCCCTGCTCGATTAGAATATTATACAATTTCTGGCGGTCAATAGAATCGTAAGCCTTTTTAAAATCTATATACAGCTGGTGAACAATACCGTTATACTCCAATTTTTTCTCTAATATTTGCCGTAAAGAAAATATTTGATCAATAGTCGAACGATTCCGTCTAAATCCGCATTGGTAGTCTCCGATAATTTCCTCGGCGTATTCCGTGATTCGACTGGTTAAGATTAAAGTGAATATTTTATAACATACCGGAAGGAGTGAAATTCCTCGATAGTTATTACAATCCGTCCTCGGACCCTTTTTGTGAATCGGAATAAGAATAGATTCTTTCCATTCTTCAGGTAATTTCTCGTTCACCCAGATCTTTTTAACCAACCGATGTATTTTAGAAACTCCAGCTTCTCCGCATGCCTTAATTAGTTCAGTAGGAATATTATCGATTCCCGCTGCTTTATATGATTTTAATTTTCCGATAGCTACTTCAACTTCCTCTTTAGTTGGTCCTTCTATTAACGGTTCAGCACTCTGGTACTCAGAAGGAGGACACAGATCATAATTTCCCGTATTTAAAATATTGTCAAAGTGGTCCTTAAACTTATTCAATATGTCAACCGGATCGGTCAGAATATTGTTATTATCATCCCTAATTCCAGACGTTACGGGCCCTACATATTTACGTGATCTGTTTATACCTTTGTACATGTCTCTTACGTTATTTTCGATTCTATTAGTTTCTATTTCAATTATTTTATTTTTAAGATACTCCCTTTTTTTATTTTTGAGCAATTTTGTCGTTTCGTTCTTTGAGATTCGGAAGTATTCCAGATTGTCTTCGCTAGGATTATTTAGAGCTTTTAATTTAGCGGCTTTTCTTTTTTCACACATGTTTAAGCAATCTTCATCAAACCACGGTTTGTTATTCTTATTTTCCTTTTTTCCTAGACACGAGTTACCGACCGCTTTAATATTATCTCTGATCTCTATCCATAACTTGTCAATATCCTCGTGGTCCTCGCCAGGAAGCTCTAAAGCTTCAAACCTATTCTTAACATCTAGCTCGAATTGGTTTCTAATTGATGGATTTTTTAATTTTTCCAAATTAAAATTCTCAAAATCGAAACGGTTTTCTTTTCTCTTTTTTATATTAAGTTTTTGTCGAAGTTTCGCGATTACTAATTCATGATCCGACCCACATTCTGCTCCGCGATAAGACCGTACATTAATTATACTACTTTGCCAGCTGTATTGTATCAAGACATGATCGATTTGATTTCGTGTTTGCGAATCCGGTGATGTCCAAGTATATTTATGAATATCCTTATGTTTAAACGTCGTACTTTTAATTATCAGGTTTTTCGAGATGGCAAAGTTTATCAGACGGATCCCATTATCATTACTATATTCGTGCAAACTTTCTTTACCAATCGTCGGAATATAAACTTCTTCCCTTCCTACCTTTGCGTTCGCGTCACCTACAATTATTTTCATGTAGTTTCGTGGTAGTTTATCATAAACCCATTCGAGTTTATCGTAAAATTCACTTTTGACTTCATCGTCACTGTCTTCGGTCGGACAATGTATGTTTATTAATGCGATTTTAAACCAACGTCCCTGAAATGTAGCTACCGAAATTCTATCACTAAAGAATTGTACGTCCCTCAAAGCGGATAGTAATCTACGCCTAATTAGAAACCCGGTACCTAAACAATGATTCTCGCTTCCTCCGTACCAAATAGTGTACTTCCCTTCCCTCATCGAGCCCTCCCCTGGCCAGCGAACCTCTTGCAGAGCCACGACATCCAAATTATACCCATTTACCTCATTCGCGACCGATTTTAGCCCCCCTGCTGTGTTTAAACTCCTTACGTTCCACGTACCAATATTTAAATCCCTATATTTCAACTTGCGCCATGAATCCCCTAAAGCAGTCCCCACCCGGAGACCCGAACGGGGGACTAGTTTACTTCCGGATAATGAGCGTTTTACCTTAGGGAGATCCATGACTTTTTGTGGTGTTTGGTGAACTAAAGATATGTGAGTAGGGCGTTCAATCCTACGTCACACCCTCCAGCAAGTCTGGTGGGCCCCTACCTCCAGCAAGTCTGGAGGTCCCCTCCCTCCAGCAAGTCTGGAGGGCCCCTCTCATTGTTGGTCAGCGAGTCCATCGGACTTAGCCGGGAGGAACTTCCAAGAAATTTCCACCGACCATCCCCACATCCGCCACCCGTGGGACGCTCCCCATACGCGGTAATGAGCCCGCGCGAGGTTTCAATAGGAATAAAATACAAAATACTTAAACATAAAATGAAAAAAAAAATCATTAATAAATAACAAACCATTCAATACAAGACACATTTAATTCAATTATTATACATTCTTGATTTTGTTTTATTTTATATTTTATTATAACAAATAATTTTAAAATTAAAAGTTTTAATATAATACGTATTTACAATATATACATTACATAAGGTACAAAAAATACGTAGTAGATAACTTATTTTATGAAGGCTGCTTTAAATTATCCACAAGGTTATTTACGTAATTATTAGCAGCATCCTTCACTTGTTGAACACTTTCCGGAGTTCCATAACTTTCTTCCAACTTGAGCCATTTTTGATAAAGTGCCTTCAATTTCCTGATAGGTAACTTATGGTTGGTCGCACGTTCTAAAACGTTCCTGAAATATTCCAAACAAATTTATTAAATAGGTAATTCATAACTATGATTCTTTCTGATATTCAAATAAATAAATAATAATTCCAAAAGATCATTAAATCTTATGAATGTAAAAAAGTTTTTCAAATCAAATATTATGCTTTGTGAATTCTTGTTTAGTTTTAAAATTGAGGCTTCGTTGTTGTAGTTTCGTAAACATTTGGTTTTGTGTAAGTGAAGATCTAATAGAGCTATATAATATTAATTGAAAAATTTCATATCCTCTAGAACTCATGATTGTCACACAGTCAATGAAATGTGATAACCACATAATTTTGTTTCCACGCCATCTAAAGGTAGAGAATTTGTATTTGAGTAGTAATTAAATAAAAAATGTTTGCCCTCAAAAGAGAAATTTCCACTCTCTTTTACGTATTAGACATCAAGAAAAAGATTTATTTCCACGTACATCAGTTTTTAGTCAAAACCATGTAACAGCCATAACATTTACTACTGATAATCCAATTTTGATAAAATGTTTCAGGATAAAGTGGGTCGGTACCTAGATGGCCCCATGTGAATTTTATCAAATTGCATCCACTTCTTTTGCCTTTGTCTCCACTATGTATTTTCTATAACATGCAGATATTTCAAAAACAACTTATCTGATTTTGCCAGAAGTCAAAAGAAATTATCAACAAATCCTTCTATACTAATTTCATGAAATTCTATCAGATATGTTTGCTGATAAATGCATTAGTACATTTTATAAATCGTATATTTATATCTTAAAGACTGAAAATAACAAAAACTCACGAATACTGAGCTTCATGTAATTGAGCTAGCAAGGACTGTTTCAAAAAGAAGGGTAACAGGTACATAAATAGTTCCATAGGAAATTACTAAATCTAAGTTTAATTAAAAAGGCCCAATAAATAATGGGTAGTGGTACATTTGTACCAGAATCGCAATTCAAAGAACTACTAATGTCTCAGTGTAAACACTATATGTAATTCCATAAGTTTAATCGTCATTCAATAAAAAAAAAATTAAGTATAAATTGTATATTTAATTGTTAATGTTAAAATGTACTTATTATTTTTATGATGAGGCATATGCATATATAATAAAATATTAGATTTAAACACTTATCTACTTTTTAATATGTATATATTTAATATTATATATTATATCTATATATATATATATATATATAAATCTGAAAAAATGTATGTTAAACAGGGTTGTGACAAGTGGGGTATGACTTAATTTCCATTTTCCATTCCAAAACTGTTAAACGTTCATTACTATTTACTTTAGTAGGTAACTATCAAAAAACCAGATTGCAATGTACTTGAGGCAATGGGGACTAACTTCTAAAGGAAAATGGACTCTAGGTCCTATCAGGGAACAAGTTCCCTCAGCTTATGAAGTAAAAAAACTACTTGTACTACATAGAATTTGTGTACAGATGAAAAGCTACAGGACTGGAGTTATATGTTGGATGAAAAAGACGACCAGCGCAGAGGTGGGCAAATGCTATTTTGAGTACTGATTATTTTATTAAAATTTAATCAGTTTTGGGAAGGTAATCACCATCATTTGACATCAACTGAAGTAGTAATTAAATTCTTTGGTACTTAAAAAAGGTCAGTATTTGGGTAAAATACTAGGTACTTAGTACTCAGAGTAGCTTTTGCCCATCTCTGGACCAGCCTAAGCAGTTGGGATTAAGTAGAAGAAGAAGGCCATGCTTAAGGACCAACAATGATGCTGGAAAGACCACAACATAAGACTTTGTATGAAGTGCATATATAAAAACATTTATATATAAAGTGTTTATCATATAAACTTGAAGTTTATCAGATAATAAAGCCAAAAAAGCGAAAAATTATTTTTAAAAAATAGGTATCTTACCTTGCTACATCTGTTAAGTCAGATTTGACCAGCATATCAACATAAACAAACCAAAGATCAACCCTTTTAGGGTAAGAAGTGAGAAGGGTTTCAAATAAAGCTTGAGACTGTTCGGGAAATCCATACTGATTCTCAATCAGTGCAAACCTGGATATTAAATTACAATCTGAAAAGAAAAAAATATATATTAAAAATATGTATATTTTAATTTAGTTAAAAGAAAGTAAACCACCAAACTCATCAAGTAAAGGAATATGTGACCTTGTTCATGTTGAAGTTCAATAGAAATTTAAATAGGCCAAAGGTTACTTACGGGTTTTTGGTGGAAGTGCCTTTAATGACCTCTGTAAGTAATGTCTTGCTTTGTCGTACATTTCGTTTTCCATCAGTACTGACTGACATTTTAACCAGCAATCAGTGTTTTCCTTATATTTCTTGGTAAGCATATACGTAAGCTTTTCCAACTCCTATAATTATAATAAAAAAATATATAATTCATTGCACAAAAACATAATAATTATGTTTAATGAACTCATATCAAGCTATTCTGTAAATAGGGTGAATTCAACTAATTGTACTTTTTTAAATAAAGACATCAACCGATAAGTAAAAATAATGAAACATTTTAAAGATTTTTTATTAAATAAAATAGTGAATTCAACCTTTTTAGAGAACAACAATGGTATGAAGTAATAAAAAATAAATAAATAAGGCAATTAAATCTCTTTTGAAAACTGTAAAATTGTGAAACAATATTAAATACAATGGGAAATTACAATAAATCTTTTATTTACTGATTACTATAAACATCCTAAAGAAATTGCATCATCCATAATTTTATTTCAATTCAGTTTCATTTACCGATTTTGATCAACTAGGCATTATTGTATATAAATATTAAATGATAGTTGCATATACAGAGAGAATTTTTACGATATTAAATAACCTTTATAACACCCTTTATTAAAATGTGGAATTAGCCAGTTAGAACCAAAGTGATTTATTTAAAATCAATATTAAGAAAAACCGGATTTTTACTATAAATTTTATTAAGAATCTGTTTAAGATTTCATATATCCATATCATTCATATAACAACCTTACAAATGGAAACACCGATATCAAAAGTTGTATTTGCAAGTAATATGTCCCACACAATTGGTAAACTTTTGGAAAAAAAAACTTAATGAATAATAAATTCACCATGACCATTTGATATGGAAGATCAAATGAAACAAAAAGTAAATCCCGAAATAATACTCAAAATTAAATTGCATAAACTGAAGAATCCAGAAGTAGCTAAGCTAAACAATACCAAAAAGTAATTAAAGAAAAGGCTCTCAAATACCACCAGTGGGATAGCCAACAGGTGGAGGAAAGTTGGCAATAATTTAAGAACATAAATCTAGAGGTCGCAGAAGCAGCATGTGGAGTAATTAAAATCAACAATAGAACCAAAACGACAGCCTGATGGACTGAAGAGGTAAAAGAGGAGATTAAAAAGAAAATCTAAAATGGAAACAGTATCTTAATAGCAGCACCGATGCAGATTCAGGCTTTACAAGGAACAGAGAAAGTAAATAAAAGAAGTTGTAACAGCTGAAAGAAGAGAAGCCTGGGAAGAATTCAGAAGCAAAATGAAAGAGAATTTCCATGAAAATCAAAAGTTATTTTACAGAACTATCCAAATTATGTACAAAAAAAAAAAGAAGACAAGAGAACATTCTTAGCAACCAAAAACACGTCATGAACAGAATGATCTGTTACAAATAGTCCAGGATGAAGAGGACAATTTCATAAATGAATACGAAATTGAAGAGTTTTGCCTTATCAAGACTCAAATCAGGTATAGCAGCGAGGATAGATGACATCACACCAGAAATGATGAAATGTCATACCTATATTAGTAGGTTGTTATTGGAAAAATTCAAAGTTCCAAATACTCGTGTTCAGTCTCTTGATTATTTTGTTACTAATTCATAACAAGTCAGACCTATATTTAAAAACAGAGATAAGAGAGAGCGTCAGAATCACAGAGGCATATCCCTCCTTAGTGTACCAAGCAAAATCCCAGAAATCCATCTCTAGAATGCAGTGGAACCTACACTAGGAGAAGATCAATACGGATTTAAAAGAAACAGAAGCCCTCAGGATCTTATCTTCTTATTAAGACAGATATCTAAAAAGGTCATAGAAAAAGATAAGCAAGTCTTTACCTGTTTTGTCGATCTCACGAAGGCCTTTGACAAGATCAGGAAGAAAAACATTGTAACAGCACTAAGGGAGAAAAATGTCAATTGAAGACCACAGAAAGGAAAAGCCTAAACAAGAAGCAGTGTAATGTGATGATGCCAAGTAACCACACATCAAGAGAATTTCAGACTACTCAAGGTAGTCAGAACTTTAGTTAGCTTTCAGGCAAGGATGCAGCTTGAGCCCACTGCTTTCCATCATAACTCTGGACAAGACCCTGAGCAGAGCAAAATCAAGGATAAGACCTTACAACTTAGAATACAGAAAACTTAGGCCCACCCACCCACCTTGTTCTTCTTGCCTTCACGGATGACTTAATTTTATTTTCAAACAACTGCAGGAACCTCCAATTCAACATAAACGTTCTACAGAAAGAATTATAACAATAAATATGACAATCAATACAGCAACAACAAAGATTATGAAAATAGGAAGGAAAGGAAAAAATGGGGATCGAGCGGTCAGATTGAACCATACAAGGTTAGAGCAAGTAAGGAATTTTAAGTACTTTGGTGCTCACCTGAACGAACATATGGTGAAATAAATGAAATGATAAAAGTTGCCAGCAGATGTTTCAATTCTCTTTACATGAATTTACAAAAATACTTTCTAACCGATTCTCATTTACACAAGTGAATCTTGGACTCTTACAACAAAACACAAGAAACAGGTTCAAACTATGGAAATGAGGTACAAGGAGAATGGAGAGAAAGACAAGGAGAGACCGAGTTCGAAATAAGACAATGAGGTCAAATCTGGAACTTAGGCCAGCTGAGGATATCATTGAGGAACACTAGCTGAGAAAGTTCGGCCATATTGTTAGAATGGAAGAGGATAGGTTGGCGAAAGTTGTGTATGAAACAAAGGTGGAAGAGCATCATCATAGAGATTTTATGGATGATGATAGAGACCCTAGCGACATCATTGGTTACTGCTACCGGCAGGGGAACGAAGAAGGAATCAATGAAGCTTGGCAGACTTCAAAAAGATATTTGCTTTGTAGAAAGAAAGAAGAGTAAATTCTATTCTGGAACATTTAGTCCCCTCAGAATAATTACAATAAACAACGAAATGACAATTGCCTGGCATAAGAATACAATTAAAAATAAATTAATTTAAAAAGTAATCTAAACCTAATATCAAAATAAAGAAAATACAGAAGTAGACATATGGAATTGAAACGGAAAAATAAATGAGGTCAAGGATGAGGATTTCCTTTCGGAGGTTGGTAGAGAATTTCAAAACAAGGTAGCATGTATGACAAATTTTTTTAAAGGAAACAGTTCTATGAGAAGGAATAAACAGGGTTGAGGGTTGGGATCTCATGGTAAACAAATGAACAGAGCAACAATGAGTAAAGAAATGGAGAAGGTAAGAAGGTTATTGGTTGTAAGGGTTCATAAAAGGAATACATCCAGGAAATATTGCCGTCAGAAAAGTGGATAGAACCACTTCAACACGGCATAGCAACTGGGAACCTGGGGACTTCAAAGATAAATCTAATGAAACAATTCATTAGCCTATTTAATGTGATCTCAATCCCATCAGACAGTCCACAGTGAAAAAGGGAACCATAATCGAAGTGAGGAAAAATGAGATAGGAAATTAAGAGCTGACAGATTTTAAAGGGTGTAGAGTCACGGAATTTTAGGAACTGTTTGAGGATAGCTATGGATTTTTGAATAATTTGAGCAATATGGGTTATTCAGGGACATGTGTTAATCAAACATTGCTCCAAGATTTCTTACGCAAGTGTGGAAACGTATCGGTAACCCATTGTATGTCTGTTTATAATTTTGCACTATGTTATATTTTTGTTATAATCATACAAATACTGATTGATTGTAAATATTATAAATAAATTTTAACAGAAAAAGATGTTCTAGATGAACTAAAATATACTTTTGAAATGTCTGTTAATGATAATTTTATCCTGAATTAGTTGCGTCAGCACTCAGAAGATATTGGCAATTCCTTGAGCAAACCTCATCTGAGAGATCTTTACTGGAAATAAGAAATTTATCTGGAGAAGTTATTTCTTCGTTCTTATCTTTCCTCATTATTTTTGCATATCGAAAGTTCTGGTAGCTGGTTCCCTCCAGGTTGCAGTGATGTCAGTAGATTGTAGCTCCCGTTTATTTCCTCCACTCTATTTCTTTTCTAGTACCTAACATAATTCCTATCTTTATCTTACCTTTATGAATTTATAAGAACATGCAGTATCGGGGCCATCCGGAGACTGTAGATACCACCTTAACACATGTCTAAAAGGGGATTGATTTTAAGAAACAAATTGTTTAAATCTAAAAATAATTCATACCGTATTATTTTTCTTTTCTGAATACAAATCCAGAACTTTTCCATAAATTTCATATTCGTCATTTACTTTGAGTGCTTCAGCTAAACATTCTTTGAACTGTTCCTGAAAGAAGAATATAATATAACTTTAAAGGGAATTAAACTGAAATAAAAGGAGAAACAACATATGACTAGTAAAAAAATACTAACAGGTGTGCCATATGAATACTCAATATTTAATAAGGCTATCCATATTTTTCGCCTTTGTTCTTCCAACTGGACCTCCTTCAAGGCTCTCTTAGCAATAACGCGTGCCTTGTCTATTTCAGTTGCCTGAAGAAAAAAAAACACAATATGAAGCAAATAATATAAAAAATGACTAACATACAAATTTGCTATCGATAAAGATTCCTAAGAATTTACCATTTAGTATATATATATATACTACTACTAGTATATATATATATATAAACTATACCGAGCAACAACATTTATCTTAACTATCTCAATTATCTTACATAATTACACATCTGCTGCCATCACAACTTAGATTATAACAGCTCTAACAATTTTGATTAAAGTTGTATCATTGTATAATTAATTATTGAATAAAGGAGAAAAAAGGAAAAATGCCTATTCAGCTTGAAAATGAATCTCCAGAAATAATATAGTGTTAAAAAGCGGAGAATTTTAGAAAAAACAATATCTAATATAGAAAGTCGAAGAAGGCAATGGAGAATAATGAAAAAATATAAATATCTATTTCTGAAGACCAATATGATTTAACAGAAATCACATTTTTCCAAGCAAATTAAATGAAATTTTCTAGCTAAATGTAAAGGTTTTTACAAGTTTACAATTAATGTTACAATTTTTGACCTATCTATGGCAGGTAATGAAAATCTCATAATTTCATTTTAGTAAACTTTACAATGGAAAATAACAGTTTAATAACTAATAGGCGTACAATCCATAATTATCTATAGTTTGAATATACAGATATACTTCCAAATATATATATATATATATATATATATATATATATATATATATATATATATATATATATATATATATATATATGTGTCAGGGACTGGAGTTATGTGGTTTACAAAATCAGCTTTTTTAATTGAAAATTTTGTTGAAATTGGTGATCCTTTGTCTACAAACTCTCCTTGTAAGTACATGATGTTCTGAGAGAATATCCAGAAGTACTGAATGATTTAATTTTATAAAGTGTTACTTAAAGACTTTTTGCAATAAACTAATAGTAAATATAACAAATAATGCTAATGTATTGAGACATTTATTTAAGAAAAAGATTTCTTACTTCTATCTGGTGAGCTATATACATCATCCATAACTTAACATTGTTGGGATCACTAAGAAGTAATCTCTCATAATGTTCAGGTGTCTGAGGGTTCTCATCTGCCTGCAGCAATTCTTCTTCTTTGAGCATAATCTTTTTTTCAGCTTCTAAAGCAGCGGCTCTTTTCTCAGCAGGAGTCATTTTCTTTGTTGGAACTTTTTCCTCATCAGAATCCTAAAATTCAAAATTACATAAATCTAGTAACATAGAAAAGGAAAAAAAAAAAAAGATGAAAATAAATAAATAAATAAACCTCTGAAAGTTCATCGTCTTCAACATTTCCTGAAATCACTTTAGCTAAATCAGCTGGAGTAGCATCCCAGTTAAAACCAGCATCTTCCAGTTTCAAAATTGCATCTTCTGTTTCATCTGCATCAATCATAATCAAGTCTTGGGCGTTCTTTTTAACTGTTTTATTTATCTTATTTGTTTTTATTTGAATAGAATTGGCCATAATCTTAGTTTTTTTTGCAGAATTCTCATTAATTTCATCAGTGGAAGATGTGCTTTTCCTTTTTTTATTTTTCAATTTTTCTTCTTGGTTCTCTTTACCCTCACATTCTAGGTTATCAAAATCGGCATCAGTTTTAGCTATTTTCATTTTGGAAGCAGAGGAAGTATCTGTACCTTCAACTGGAATTTTCTTTTTTTTAAAGGAATCAGCAACCCCAATCCAATAGTTGATTTTTTCTGAAGTTCGAGCTGATCTAAAATATTTTAGGAATTGTAAAGAAATAATTTTCAATTAAATAAATTGAATACTTTATTAAATAAAATATGTATAATACCTTAATGTTACTTTGCATGAGCTATAAGACTTCAGTTCATCTAAAATAATGTATTTTGAAATATTGGGGTCCTCTTTAGTAGGAACAAAAGCTATTTGCCCACCCTTAGAGCACTGGACCATTAAAATTAGAAAAACTGAGTTGCCAAAAAGCAAATTGCCAGGAATTTGACTATTAATTAAGTGAGTTTGAAGTGTTCCACCTAAAGGAAGAAAAAAAATTAAATATAACTATATTAGTAATCAATAACTATTGCCATCAAAAGAGGCAATTGCTTTTAGTTTTTTTGAGACAAATTGGTAGAGCTGTTCAGTCAATGAAAGAACAAGATAAAAATAAATAAATTATATTTATTCTTGTCTTCTTAGCCGATCTAAGTTTCACAGTATCATCTAGACTAAGCAAAGACAACATAACATAAATATAACTTTCCTTTTCTTTTAAACATATTATTTTTGTTTGGCAAAGAACTAGCCAAGTTTGATTTGATTTATAATCTTTTTTTTTTTTTATTTTGGTCTCAGCATTCGTAACATACAACATACAAACATAATGTTTGGTAATATAACATACAATAATATAATTGTTGATGTTTGATTCGTATAATTTTTTTTATTATTTGAACTACCTGGACCTAAACCTAAAGAAGTTTTCACTTCAAAAATCTGGCACACAATACACAATGTACACTTACTACTCCTTTTTTTGAAAATAGGTATTTTCAGAGAAAGGGAAGAGGAAGTACAAATTACTGATAGTACAAAATATTATTTAAAACAATTAATTTCTAAATATTTTTCACAGCATATTATATTTATGCTTTTATTTATGAATAACCATTTCCTTTTGCAACTCTAAATTATAATTATTTATTTGATAATAATGAATAATTAAGAGGCATGAAATATTTTTATTTGGTCCGACAATCTAGCCACTCACTGATGAAGAAGGGATCTATATTTATTTAAATTTCATTGTTTTTTTCTAAATTTATGCTTCTCTTCTTCAGCTTCCCCCTTAGTTTCTAGTTCTATCCCATTAGAGTTCTAGCAGCCCAGTACCATTCTGATGAGAATGTACAATGTATTGTACCCATGACTGCTCCCCCATTCATTGCACAGATTACAGTGTGGAGCTATCAAGGTAGAATTTTTCCTATCTCTGGCTCACTTTTATTTAAAATTGTGGTAGATTATAAAAGCAGTTATTTTTATTTTACATATGTTATTTATTCAAATGGTATTAGGTTACAAGTCTGTGAGGTGTAGATCAATTTATATTGTTCTTAAAAGATAGTTTTAGTTTAATCATTTAATTTATCTAGTTGAACATAAAAACTTTAAAAATTGATTTTTCTTCAGGTAATTCACAAATTGTAAATATTGTTTGGTATTATTTATTACTAATTAGTTGTTTTTCTGTAATTAATGTTAAATAATTTTTTTTTCGGTGAATGTCTTAAAGTTTTAAAAGAAATCCATCAGCAAATTATATATATTTATGTGTAAATGATGTTTAGGTATAGTGTAAATCAAAGTAAAGAATTTCTACATAAAAAAAAAAAAAGAGTATCTGTAGACTCATCTTTGTTAGCCTTCATACAATGTATTTACAAAGAAACAAAGACAGAATTGACAAATTCGAGATTCGCTTGATTTTACTCTAATGAATGTTAAGGTATTGCCATTAATATATCAGTTTATTGCAAAAAGTCATTAAGTTGCATTTCATAAGCTAAAATCTCTAAAAACTTAAAAGTACTTTCTTTTTATGAAATCAGAAAAATTAGCTCTTGTAACCAAATATATTTAATATAAAGAAGGATTTGGGCCACTTCAGTGTATTTTTTTAAATCAACAAATAAAGTTGAAATTCACAATAATGTGCTTAAAACAACAGATCCATCAAAAGCGTACTTAGAGACTTTTGGTAATAAACCGATGCAATAGTCCAATCCAGGTAAAACGCATCACTCCCTCTCCACTATGCGCGTCTATGTTTCAATCCTCCCGATCAGTGAAAATTACATGAAACCTAAGTAACAGCAGTAGATATCATACCAAGCACATGAAATAGACAACACAAGACAATTCAAATTAAATTTTTGAACTGACCCTAAAATTGTATAAAATTAACCTCCTAAAAATATAATATCAATTTAACCTTTCCATATGTTTAATGCCTTCTACATTTCACAGCCATTATTTTTTTTAACCATTATTAATATTAATTTTAATTGTTAAATGAAATTTAAAGGTATTGATTCTGGGAAATTTGCACATTACTTTCCAAATTTCCTCCAATTCTGGTTAAAATCGAATGCACCTTTTTAAACTATGGGGGAATAGAAAACGAGACCTGCGCAGAATCGAAAGCGGAATATTTTATGGCAGTTTTGGATAGAATTTGATGAAACTGATACCAACTTGATCATTTATTTATTAATACCTAACTTCGAGAGTTTTAGAGATATTGGCATATCTAAGAAAATATGTTTGGGCATTTTTAAGAGAAAGTAGAAGATGGAATTCTATAAAACCGATACAGCATCATTTTTTTACTAATACCCAACTTTCTTCCAACTTTGAGCTAAATCGAACGAACCATTTCTGAAATATTGGCATACTTAAGAAAATACATTTCAGCATGCATAAGCGGAGGTGTTGGATGGTATTTTAGGAAACTGATATGTGACTATCTAGGTACCAACACACACAATACAGGAAAATTTCATGAAAAATGGACAAAGGATAGTAGGCGATATTTGACTATACACAGACAGAAGACACCAAACCAAATTTGATCTTTGATGTCTGAAACATAAAATTCAAGTGGAAATTTTCAATTCTAAGTGTAAACAACTTTTTAACTTCCTGCACGAATATAAAGCTTCCCTACCTTCGGTAATGAAGAAGCAAAATTATAAAATTTTCAAGGTATTATTGAAAAAATCACGTTTCTATTACTGTAAATGAGAGATTCCAGAACAATTGCCAGTCATGAAATTCTCATCCGATGGACATTGTTATTTTTATTTGTCATTGCTTGATTTATTCCAAAATTTGTACTGTTAATTTCAAAAGTAGTAATAATAATAATTATAAATACTTGAAGATATGATATGTATTTGAAATTTATATTGTATGGTTTCAGATTTTTACATCAGTTATGACATAGAAAAATAAATCAAAAAATTATAATCTTAAAAAACTTACTCATTTTGGTAGCATTTTCGAAGATGGTTAAGTATATTATACTCCTGACAATGTCATGATAAAGAACATGTGCCTTCACTTTTTGATCTTTTTTTAGTGACAATGTCTTTAGAGACTGACTTCTAATTATTCCAGGAATATTGAATTCAGTGTCAACTTTAACATAATTTCTAGCCACTTCACGAACAGTACATTCTAGCTCAGTTCCCATTTTAACACATTGTAGGGGTTCAACAGTTCTGAGCAAGTTTTCCACATTTGATATTGACAACTAAAATAAAAAACTTAATCCAATTAAATTGTTTATTTAGATTTATTTACATAAATACAATTAATATTTTGTTGTTACCTCAATCTTTTCCTTATCAGACAATTTACAAGTCAGCTTCATTTCAACAACAGCAGGATTTAAATGTGTTATTTTAACTAAAAGTCCCTGGTTCAAATCATATTCATATGGGTCTTGAGGTAAATCCTGAAAACAAAGAGGTCTAAATGCTTCGAAAGAAAAAAAAGAGTTACGAAAGTAAATAGCAGGCAGAATAATAAAATTACATGCTTTAAAAAATAAAAAAGGTAATGAGAAAAAAAAATTTTTACCACTACTAATTTGATTACTTAACTATAATAGGTTAACTTTTGTTAGGTTAAGGTTTTGTGTATCAATTATGTTAAAATTCCTAGAAAGAATGGGATATCAATGGTTTGTTCATTCAAATCTTTCACAGTGGCCCAACTGTTACAGAAAACTTTATTCCAAGAACACAATAGAGCTGAGAATAAATTACCTTCTTCTACTTTTAGGAAAAGGAAACATAGAGAACTTGTTTCTGGAAAAAGGTATTAAGTTTTTGAAGAGATGATAATATATCTAAAAACATGCAGGCAACTATGGAATGACAAATCACAAGAAAATCAGCCTTGACCAAAACTAAAATCCATTCATCAGCAATATTGTTCACTCCAAAAGCAGACCACTGATAGAAATTCTACTTGTGAAAAACTTTTACTGGAACAGAGTACTCTACAGAAAGCTTAACACTCACAATTGAGAGCTGATATCTTCTATGTTTCCGATTCCCCACAACTGGAGTGGTCTTCCCCTAAAGCCTGCCCATTCTGGATGTATATAGAGAAGTTTCCTTCATCAAAATATTTTTCTTATTTTCTCTTTTCATATCTCAATACTTCTGCTGTACCTTAATTTAAAGTGGTCCTTATTTTTCCTTATCACTCTGCCACCATATTTTCTTCTACTTTACTTTCAATTACTGATACTGGTGGAAGAACTAGTCCAGGAAGTGGGCTTCATGGCCTTTTTTATCAACCCTTTACGGCTACCTTAATGTAGCCACCGCACACTTACCAGAGTGAAAATACCAAGATTCATTTCCTGGGATGTCAGAGAAATAAATATTAATTGATACAGGTGGGCAGCAATCCCACAACGTTCAGAGCTGGGCACTCTGGAACCCATACCTCAACATGTTTGGCCATCACTTTCTCTGTTTACATTTAATTTTACTATGACTTTTTTTCAAACCTCCTTTATATCTTTTAATTCTTCAGAACATCTATCCTTAATTCTCTCCTTGTTTCCTCTCTGTTTTTACATAGATTTCCAATCCTCTGTCAGTATTAACCAAGAAATGATTAGTTATAAAGTACATCTTTCTAAAGCTATAAATCTCCGATAAATGCCTTTCATCTATTAACACTTTTACGACCAAGCCATTCGACTGAAACTTTCTCCCTGGATCAAATTTTATTTTTCTCTCAAAATTTGTAATATATTGTTTAAAAGAGTATCATGATTTTTTTTATTAGTTTTAAAAATAATTTAATTGCGATAATTTAAAAAAAATTGAGGAGGCATATATGCATGCCTACATGTGTCCATAAGGATATTATGGTTTTTTTTTTTTTTTAATTTTAATTTTCCTATTTTCACCCTTGGTTGTTATTTCTGAACACACAACACACAACTTAATAGAAAAGGTTATATATCGCCACATGTGTTTTCATAAATATTGATTTGTACAATTGATGTGACGAGTGATCGAAACAATATATTAATATTGTTAGTAAGTAATATTAATATAGTAAGTAGTAAGTAATATTAATAAAATTACTTTTAACACACGAACGCCTTAGTTATGGCTTTAAAATTTCTCCTAATGATATCAGTATTAACTATATTTGGGTTGAACTATAGTGAATTGTTATTTCCACTTGGATGCCTGACTTCCTTACCATGCCCTCCAGAGCAAAATTAAAGAGAAGGTACACAAAACTGTCACTCAGTAAGTCTGAAGAGTTTTTCCAAAAGAAGGACTAGTTCAGACTAAAAAAACACATCTAATTCTCTTAACAAATTCTAAACTACTTCTTCTAAGGGAGCAACCTTTGTTTCCTCATTACCATTCATGTTATAACCTTTTAGTTTTCTAATTTTGGATTATATTTGTAAAATATTAATGAAAATTATTAAAAAATAATTAAACTTTATTGATCAAACCTCTTTCTCGATAGGAACTTTTCCATTAAAACCAGGTACAGGAACACAAACTAAGATTCTCTCAGAGGAAATTTCAGACACTGATGCTGGAATGATCATGTTTTCTTTCAACTTATTGAATCCACCAGATACATAGGCATGTTTCTGTAAAATAAGAAATAAATAAACAATTACAATATAAAACCTAAAATAGTTTTATAGATATTAAGCACAAATATCACCATTAATATCCACAAATATACTAAAACAAGGAAAAGTGGGATCAAGCTTTTATGAACAGAGAAAATGTTTTGTTTAAGGGAAAAATATAGTAACAAAATTCATATATCAAAACATAATATTTTACTAAAACAGTGCAATTTAAGGCTCAATATCTCTCCATAGTAAAAGGGATAAAACATGCTTTACATAAATATACATTGTACTGGATGTAAAGTTTCCACATGTTGCTTCTTGGTTTTAAATGCTATAGGTATAATAGACTAACTAGGTAAGAAGGGTTAACGAACAATTCTAGCCAGTGAAGCCCATTTTTCTCTAATATATTTTCAGCTTATTACTAACACACACAATCTCTGAAAATTAGATAAATGGTAGTAGGTGATATGCGAATCACATTAATTTTACTACAGTAAGGCACCACAGAATCAAATTTGATAATTGATGTCTGAAACCTAAAAGGTCATTGAAAACTTTTGATTCTGAGCACAAAAATTTGTTTAGCCTCCTGCACTAATCAAAGTGGATCTAATCAAAGTGAAGTGACCAGGAATCTATGGGTTTCAAAAGAAAAAGGGTGATGGAGGCTGTTTAGAGGTTTTAAGATAGAAAAGTTACAGCAGGAGTCATCGGATACATGGTTTTCCAGTAAAGGGTTTGATCAAAGGTTATTCCAAGTCTTTATTTGGCTTTAGCAAGTCGGATTGCAAATTGGGTTCCATTACAAAGTTCCTTGAAAGAGGCACAGGCAAACGGGTTCGATGATATTTGTGCCTTGTTGCATCCCTTCTTTTTATTATTTCTTTAATTTCAAGAGTCAACCAAGATGCAGGGGGATAACGTAAAGTTCTAGTTTACAGAGGAGCATGGATGTCTAATAAGAATAGTAGATTTGAAGTAAGGGTGGATACCATAGGATCAATGGAATTAAAAGAATATATAATGTCCCATTCAATCAATTGGTCTGATTGAAGGGATCCATAGGAGAGAAGGTTTAAGAGATGTATTTTGGATCAGGTCATGTGATAAAAGAAATGGAACGAGATGTTGAGAAGGAGAAAGGATTTTGACGGAAGTCAGAGATGTCGAGTTCTAGCCAAGTATCGGAAAATTGTGTGTGATAAGTAGAAGAATAAGGAACATGATAAAGATTAAGGGAAAACAGCTGGTCAGTAAGGAAGTATTTCTCAGGAGTACTCGGGTGATTCAACTAAATCACCCTAATTCATTCATTCATTAGTAAATGAAAAAAAAAAAAAAAATCCTTCATTGCTTTGCTTAAATGAAACTTTTGTTTTACATTTATCAACATAGTAGTAGACCTAGAATTTGATCATAGCAGACAGTGAAACTTTTTAAAGGATCTTCATTAGATCGTTTGGATCTTAATGAATAAAATTTTCAGTAGTGGGAATATGATGAGGTAATAAAAAAGATGTATTCAGATAGAAATGGATGAAGAAAAATTAAAATAAAAAACAACTAAATAGATGAGTCATTAAAGAAAAAACATGATTCTGCACATTTTCAATTCAACTTAAAAACATAATTATGATATTTTCAACAAATAAATTGTTCCAATAATTAAAAATCTTACCTCAAAAAAATTTCTAACAGACTTTCTAAGTGTAAATGTACAACTGTTGTCAGAAACACTGAACAATATCGCATTTTTTATAACAGAATAGTAAGGATATTGCTTCATTACTATTTCACATAGCTCTTTATGGTCAGACATGTGCGGAAGAGGAATAAACCCATCTGGAAAAAGGAAAAGGAAATTACTCATTAGATTAGAAGTAATGCTTATTTGGAAGAATTAATTAAGTGTTTCATATTCAATTTCATTAAGTGTCATTCTAAAGTTTAAGAAAATTTTGGTTCTTTTTCATCTAAACTTTTAACGATTCTGATATTCCTGTTTTGTCAAAAATCACACCAATTATTTTCATTGAACCTGATCCAACAAAATATATTTGTCATAAAAAAACAGGCATTGAATGCTGAAAGTATCAACAAACTTTGAATATGTCAAAAAATCAATATTTGATAAATAAATAAATAAGCTAAATACTTAATACATAAAGCATTTTACAACTATTTCTATGAATTAATTTGAATAGTATTTTAATTAAAATTCATATATTTTTCCACTTTTATTTGAATTATCTTATATACAAGTAAATCATAAAACTAAATGTTGATAGCAAGCCTCAACATAATGAAAAATTAATTAGGCTTATATTGAATTTTAAGCCAATAAGCTCAACTAAACTACATCAACTGGTTACACATAATGTAATATATATATATACATATATATATATTTGAAAAAAATAATGTTTACAATTTGTAAATAAATTTCTGACTTACTTAATGGTTTATCTTTAACTATGAAAAGACATTTAACACCACTTTTCGAGATCTGTTTGACTCTAACATCATATTTGTTACCAACAGTTACATCCATTCGCTGAACTGATTTTAAAAGACTGAAAACAGGTAATTTATTGTTTGAAGCAACTTCTATAACATAACATTTCACCTGGAATAAAAATGTCTTTTTAATAGATTTGGTATCAATGGCAAACAACAACAAGAATTTTCATCATTTAACCCTTTTATACTTAAAGGTAGTGAGTGAATACAGTATATCAACGTTTTAATTGAAAAACCTCAATACTCATATTTTTTTAATTCATTACCTCAAATAGACTAAAAATATATACAATATACTATAAATTAGGCCTTAATCTAGACTGTCAAAGAAACTTATAATATTATAAACTTGACTGTGATTATGATATGAGGAGTTGGTCGGGGGTAATACTAATAAAATACTATTCTAGTTTATAGTATTTATTTGAACGCACCCCCGACCGACTCCTTTTCATATTATAATTTGTCTTGAAATATCAATATCAAACTTGTTGCATTTTTGAGTAATGGTTTTGACATGAAATATTTTCAAGAAACAGCTAATTATGAGACAACAGATAATAATATATTGATTAATCAAGCAAATAGTAACTTGAAATAAAAATTAAATGATAAGTCTAATAAAAACTCACAAACTTAGGAACAAGAGTAAACAAAATTAAACTTATAGCTATAAGTTTCTATTAAGAGTTAGGCAAACTTTAGTTTCCATCAATAAAGTAATGTAACAACTTTACAAAGGCCAATCAGGATGCAGTAATTAGACATATGTTCAACACTACCTTAATCATAATCTCGGCTTTAAACTATGAACTTTTTCAAAACTCAAGATTTCATAAAATTATACTGAAAACGTAAACTTGTATATATATATATATATTTTAGTTATGTAACTTAACCAGGAGACTGATTGATTATATATATATATATATATATATATATATATATATATATACATATATATATATCTGTCTCCTAATTAAGTTACATAACTAAAAAGTCAATTATAACATTAAGTTTTAGAAAAATATATTTTCATTTCCTTACCAATTCTCCCACAGTATGTTTGTCAGGTGATTGTAAGAGATTAGTTTCATTAATGTGTATAAAAAGATCTCCAAAAAATGAAACAGTAATCGAATCAGGTTGAATTTTCTTGACAGTTCCAAAATAACAATCACCTACATTTAGGTCTCTAAAACTTGAAAGAGACTTTGTTTTCACCAATGTAGGTCTTAATGTAAAGACAACATTGTTATTTTCAAGTCTAAGAACCTGAAATTAAAGAGAATAGCTATTTAAACAATAAAACATAAAAAAATATACATACACAGATGAGCTTAAACACTCACACATAATTGGTAATGGCAACACTGCTGGAATATGGCATTAGACAGAAGGTGAACATAGGGGTTAATTTCAAGTAACCTATCCTCGGTAGACAGAAAACACGGGGAGGTTGGGTGAGATTAACTCACCCGATTTCTTACGATAAATGGGTGCTTTTGAATCCATCTACACAGCTTTAAGCTGGACAAGTACAGCAAAGTGTTTAATGTGAAAACCGAGAGATAAGAGTGCAGATCATATGTTTTTTCTAAGAGAGAAAGAATTCTGAGTGCTTTTTAAAAGAAATTGAGGAGTGAGGATAAGAAAAGGCGAATCAGGAAATTGTCTAACAAAATAGGCGGCACACAGCCACCCCTCTCCCTCTCCATGAAGTACTGCCTAATTAATGGTAGTCCCAGGAAGGGTGGGAAATAGATGCAGGGAGGTGAGGTGGTTTTAAGAATCCCACACAAGGATAGGTATGGACCAATTCATATCTTTTAAAGATTTCTACCTACCCATGTTATAAAACATCTGCCAAGTAAGGAGTGGCCGCTCCATGGGGCGGGGGGTGGCCGAATGGGCTAACGAGTGTGCACAGCACTGCCATTGTCCGGCAACCTGACATATGAGACAACAATAAAAAATAGTTCTGAGTTCGCATCCCGGTGGCGGGGGAGTCTATTAAATCCCCGCCCACACTCCCTGGCCCGGGAGAACCCTGTATAGCCTTAAAGGCGAGGACCCCCCCCCAAAAAAAAAAATCTGGCAAGTAAGGACAATATAGCTTCCTCACCATTTTCATTGGTTACACAATTACCTATATTTTAAAGTATATATTATTTTCATTTCAGAATACAATCTTTGGAAAAAATGTTTTTTAAAACTAATCTCTCGACGATATAAAATCAGTGAGTCTTGATCGAATACAGCAAATACAAAAATGAGAAAGTTACACATTAGCAAACTGTTTGTTTGATCCTTCATGATAACAAAAAAAAATCAAGAACATAAACTAAAATTCAGTACAGTTTGAATGTACATATTGTACTTAATAGGCATGTTTTCACTGGTAAAAGGATGGAACCAAAATGCATAGAAAAAATTTAATTTTATTACTAGTCTGGTACTAATAAAACCAACATTTTTTGTCACTAAGGTTAAACTAATTTAAGATGGAATATAAGAATATGAGCGAGTTCACAAATTACATGAAAAGAAGGTCTATGCACAATTAAATTTTTTTGTCACCAACGTCTTACCCTTCAACAAGAACTAGTTCAAAAAGTTGACCTTTTACTACTTTGAAGTTTAGAGGGAAACTATAAAGAGCTGATTAAACTTCAAAAGAAACGCAATCATAAACAAGATTTTTTTTTTATAATCTGTGTATAAAACTTAATTTAAACATACAAATATATATATTTATGTGTAAATTATGTATATGCATAATGTAATTCAAAATAAAGATATGTATACATTAAAAAAATATCTGTGTTCCCATCTTTGTTATCCTTCATAAAATTTATTCATAAAGAAATTAAGACAGAATTCATAAATTTAAGATTCACTTTTTTTTCTTCTAGAAACTAACCCAGGAAAATGTTAAGGGATTACCATACAAATCATAAGTTTATTGCAAAAAGTCATCAAATAACATTTCATAACCTAAAATCACTAAGAAATTGAAGAATGTTTCCTTTGTTAAATCAGAAAATCTTACATTTGTAACTAACTATTTTTGATATATATAAAAGGATTTCAGCCACTTTAATGTACTTACTGTGCTTTGTTATCAATAAATAAGGAAGAAAGTCAGAAGAACATGTTTAAAATAACAGTTAAATCAAAAATGTATTTAGAGACTCTTTTAAATAAACTAACAATGTTTTAAATAAAAAAACGAATGGTACCAATAAGATGAAGGTTATAATAAAGAAATTGTGCCATAGTTTGAGGGACTCCAACTGGGAAATGCTACTCAGGATAAACCAGGTGCCGATCCTATCAAAAATGGACTATGACTGCTTCATATATGGCTCCACCAGTAAATCAGTACTTTTTAAATAAGATTCAGTGCACAATGGCGGAATACGTATATCAATTAGAGCATTTCATACAAGCCCAGACTTAAGGCTTTGTTTGGAAGTAGCAGTACTCCCAATACCTTTTCGTTGCCAGAAACTTGGTGCTAAATATTTAGCTAAATTATATGCCCAGACAGATAATCCAACTTATAAATGTTGCTTTAATCCCCAAAATAAAACCTTATATGAGGGAGAGAAAAATCATCACTTCCTATCAGTGTCAGGCTTTATGATGCACTAAGCAAAACTAAAAAAAACAAAATAATGATATTCAAAAACATCCATCCTCTCTATCCATAAACATCCATTTTATTATTGACTTGTTTAAATACTAAAATATTCCAGCCAATAGGAAAGGATATTGGGATAAGTGGCAAAATCTATGGAACCAACAAATACAAATGAAATTAGATTAGTTTAACCTGCCGTTAAGAGGTGGAAATGCTCCAGACAATTGAGAATAGAATACAGCTATCTCCAAAATGTCAGGATTGTAAAACGGCACATTATTGAGGAATGTCCAAGGTACAACAGAAAAATAGCTAATTTAAGCATTCCTCGATTCCTCGCCAAGGAGCTTAGATAATAACATGTCTAAGTTTTTAAAATACAGGACTTCATAAGTTTTGAAAATTTCAAGTTGACAGAAAATCAAAGGAAATGGTTGATGATAATCATCGAAGTTTTTCACCCTTTAAACTAAAATAAAAAATAAAAATTGTCAAATGAAATTGATACCATATAATTTGTATACTATTTGTGAAATTTCCTCCAAGTCTCGATCAAATCGAATGACCCGTTTTCTAACTATGGGTGTATTAAAAATTATACATAAACATAACCGAAAGCGAAACCAATTTTTGATAGTTGCGGATAGAATTTGATAAAATTTATACCTACATGATTATTTGTCAATCCCTAATTTCCCTCCGAACATACGATTTTTGAAATATTACCATATCAAGGAAAATGCATTTACGCATATTAAATGTATTTCAACAAAATTGATACAGCATCATTTTTTTTTTAAACCATCTTTCTCTTAACTTTGAGCCAAATAAAATGAGCAGTTTCTGAAATATTGGCATATCTAAGAAAATACATTTCCTTGATCTCTGAAATGCAAAACAGGATAGGAAATTTTCGATTCTTACAAAGCTTCCCTACCTTCAGTAGTGAGGAAGCAAAAAACATAAGAGCACATTTTAATCTGATTTAATTGTTTTGAATAATGATTGTTTGAGAAAAGAAGAACAAGTCATTTCTGTTATAGTGCAATTAATTCCTTGAAGTACCACAAGTAAGAACTAGGATCTACTTTTCAGAAATGCAAAAACCTCAAAATCTTAATCCAGATCAAGAAATGACATATTTGAACTTTTCCCAAGGAGAAGTGGACCTAGACTACTACAACTATTAATGGTATTTACAAAAACACCATAAGTACATGAAAATAAGGTCAAAGTTTGCAAAAACAATTAAAAGTTAACCTATATCTAAATCTAGTTTTTCAGAGGTAACATAATTATAATAAGTCTAATTAATTTTATCGTTCAATTTCTTTCTTCTGTTTATCAATTGTAACTAAATAAGTTAATATTTTTTTTCATAACTAAGAATGTATTACCAAGATGATATATAAACTTCCAAAAGATATTATCAGAAAAATCTCAGGGTAGCAATTGTACAGGAATCAATAGTTATCTGTCATACATCTCTTACTTTTTCAAAAAAATTTCAATAATACTTGTCAAATAATTTACATATGAATGGATAATTAAATGTCTAGTTAAATCACCTTTGCTTTTTGTTTTGAATGCAGTTTGATTTTATCAAATGGATTATGAAGAAGAACATCAGAAATGTGGTGACGAGGTACAAACCCTTTCACTTCTCCTACAGATACTTCCAATCCTCCCTTTTTCATGGACTGTATTGTTACTTCAACAATTTCACCAAGTTTAAGATCATTAGGAGAGAGATATTTCTCGACCAGAATATTACTGAAAACAATAAATAAATTAACATTAATTATTACAAAAAGCAATATAATTTACTATCTTCCTACAGATATATAACAATGTAAAGTCTCTATATCTATATGATGTAGATTCTAATTTATATATACTGGATCAACTAGGAATTCATAATACAATTCTAATAGAGTATTTTGCCTAGAATAAATAAGTTTTTTTTTTTAAAACTATGTCAATGTTTATTAATCCCACTCAAGAGAAACATAACATTTTCTTTAAAATTTCCACTTAGTTTTTTCCTAATAATACATAATTATCTACACATATCTATCTGTGGTTTAAAATGTAAAAAACATACAATCATAATGATATTGGGTATTTATTTAGCTGTGCAATCAGTAGAAATAGGTAATTTATTACAATATAAATACTAATAATCTAATTTCAGCTGCAACCCTTCAATCTAAATTCTCAGTTAATCCATGAATTAGTAAATCAGTTTTATATTGGCAATCAGAGTGGAATCCTTAATGAACAAAATATCTACCAATCTTGGTAATTTAAATTGCTGAATTTTTCAAGTGTAGTTCAAAAATTTAAACTAGCTAAATGTTAACACATGCAAAACATTTTTAAAAAATAATAAAGCAATCCATATTGGGAAGGTGGAATTTATGATATATAAATTTGTTTGTTCAAGTCTAAGAAGATAAGTAACTAAATTTTTTGAGGGGACGAGGTGGCCGGGTGGGCTAAAGTGTGTGTACAGTACCGTGCATTGCCTGGCAATCTGATAACTGAACTTATAGATTGAAAAACAATTACAAGTTCGTGTCCTGGTGCTGAAGGGGTTTCTTAACTCTGGCATTAATCTCCCGCCCTCACCCTCTGATCCAGAAAAATCCCATATAGTCTAAAAGGCAAGGAAGGGGTGGACAAAAAAAAGTAATTAAATTTGGTAATTAAAACGGTAACAAAATTAATACAGCTGTAAATATTTTTTAAACCTTAGTTATCATCAAAATTAACAACAATTTAGGGTAAGGGTGGATATCAAAGAAACCAACCACCGATATTGCCAAATATTGTAATAAATAGAATAAGACAAATTTTTAAACTATTCCCAATAATCCACTATAACCAATAGGGTCCAGCAATATTTTATCATCAAGGGCTCCTGAAGGTGTAGATCTACCACTGATCCCTGATGCGAGGGAAATAGAAATTTGAAGTTTCATTAAGATTAAACCATCAACAAATATCTCACAGCAAAACCTAAACTATAGCTTTGAACTGCTGGTGAAACACATATTTAAATGTACGAAAGAACATGAATCAACTATATGGTCTTATAAAAATAACAATATAAGGGAACAATAGAATTAAAAATGCGAGACACTTTTTTTTTCTCTCCCCTTCCTCTCCTTTTAGGCTATAAGTGGTTATTCTCACATCAGGGGAGAGGGTGAGAGAATTATGCTAGAATTTAAAAGTTTGACGAGCAATACATGTTTAGCACACGCGTTAGCCTGCTAGACCACCCACTCCAAAAGACGAGACACCAACAACAACAACCATTAACTAAAAAAAGATTAAAGCTGAAGGTTAATGAAAATCAAGTTATCCTTAGTTTAATAAGAACCTCCTACAGCATGTTATTCTGAAAATAACAAAAATACGAAGCTCAACGAAATTCGCAGAGTTTTTAATTAACTGGAAGAATAAATAGATCAAACCAAAAATACAGAGGAACTATTAGTCTAATTATTTTTTTAATCAATGACCAATTCTGTTATTCCTTTCAAAACTTGACAGCACATGTTGCTAGAGTCACTAGAAAAAAATCGCATTGTAATAAAAAAATCAGACCAACTTCCTGGGAACTCCTAACTCACTCATGATCTTCCAAAGACAGTTTCTGTACAGGAAATCGTAAGCTGCTTTGAAATTGACAAATAATTTTCAATTCAAATGTAAGTTGGTTATCCTCAATTCAATTTCTCTAATACTACTACTACTTTTGTAATAATCTATCAGGTTATGCAGAATATTAGTCATCACCTTGCAAGGAATAGGAAGGAGGTGTATACCTCTGTAGTTGATACACTCTTACATGAAAGATCAGAGTAGTTATTACAATTGTGGCGGCCACACATAATTCTGACGGCAACTGCCGTGGTTCACGTACTGAACCACAGCTACCAGGCACTGCCACATGTGGGTGCTCGTTCATTTTACGTACAAGTGCTATTTTTATTTCTTATTATTTTAATATAAAAAAACTGCATTATAACTTGAAAATATACAGGAAGGAGGATAGATTAATATCATTTTTAACTGATTTAAGCAGAGTTTGAGAGATCTTGCTTTTCTCACTTCGGGGAACTACCTTCTCCTCACAATTGGAGTTGGTCAGTATAATTTATAAACTTCTGTTGGTACCATATCAATCTGATTATTTCTTTCTTCTATAAACATATAACCCTTCCTTTTCTCTTCAATGCTCAACAATCCGCTTGAAGTCCTACATACTATGTCTGGAGACTCATCCCTTCATTGGTATTTCTTCCTTCCACATGGTCTGGAGACTCATATCTCTGTTTGTGGTTACTATTCTGCAATGTCTTAAGGCTCATCCCTCAGCTCACCTACTGAGAGTGATTTGGATGCGCATCCACCCGACATTTGAGATCTTCCTTTCATAGTCTCTTCCTTATCCATTGGGTCATTTACCCTCACTGAACACGCTTTGTCGAGGCCTTCTGAGTTCACTATTAACTAACCTACCTCGACACACTCTTACATCTATCCTTGAGGATATATATATATATATATATAAATGAAAGCAATTAGTTCATGAGTAAGTAACAATAATAATAATAAAAAATATATACATACATACTTACATACATACATACGTACGTACGTATGTATGTATATATTTTTTATTATTATTGTTACTTACTCTATAAACTAATTGCTTTCATTTTTCAATCATGTAACACTAAAATACAAATCTTATCAGGACTTCAATAAAATTAGAATATATTTTCTACTCCTGAAAAAGTCTGCTAATCAAAGCGCAGACATAACTTTTATACAACATAAGATTTTTTCCACCAGTTAGCCATAAATATTACTTACTCTTCAGTAGTACAAGAATAAACTTGTTCCAGTGCATCGTAGCCAATTACTCTGCACTTGATATGATTGCCTAGTGGAAATATTGCTGAAAGCTTTTCATAGTTTATATTAGGACCTAAACGTCTAACAGACACAATCCCTTTATAGATATTATTGTTATGTTCTAATTTCAAGGCAACACCTCGCTTTAAGATTCTCATTATCTAAAACAAAAGAGAAAAATTGTAATTTTCAACAAACAGAACAAAAAGATAATAAAAAATACTTTAATCCGTCAAACTTAAATAAATGATATACCTAAAACTATTTTATTTTTTTATAAAGATGATTTTCACAAGATTATTCTAAGAGATTAAAAAACATAGAGCTCATTAAAAATTGAGAAACAAGTTATCTTTAAAGCAATTGAGGAGACTTTTGAAGTGTAATTCAAATATGTAAAATATAATAAATTGAAGCAATAAAATGATGGAAGAACGCCTTCATCATAACTACAGAGACTGCAGAAGGAGAGGTAGAGTGGATGACACCTATCCTGAAGATATGGACGAAGCGATCGGGGAAGACGAGGTGGAGTTGGCAGTCAACCAAATCCAGCTAGGAAAAGCTCCAGGACCAGATAGATGGCATAGCTCCGGAATTTATAAAATATGGAGGCAATGAAATTATTAAATACCTTCAAATGCTGTTGCAGAAAATTAAGGATCTTAAGTTGCTGCCACGAGAATGGGAAAACATCATAATCCCAATTCACAAGAAAGATACCAAAGCGAATTTGGTAACTATAGGTCAATATGCCTATCCTCAGTAATGTACAAAATATACACTAGGATATTAGAGCAGCGATTGTGGGGTTTTGTGGAACAAGATATTGAAGAAGAGCAAGCGGCTTTCAGACATGGAAGACAGACCCAAGACCACATTGTTTCCTTGCAGAAGATAGTAGAGAAAGTGTGGGACTGGGGAAAGGCAGCCTACTTGGCATTCCTGGATCTGAGGGTGGCTTTTGACTCAGTCTAGAAGCAGGAGATATGGGACAGACTAATAAGAAGAGTGACAACAAACTTGGTGAGTGCAATTAAACCGGTGGTCAGTTAACCAATTAAAATGGTCAGACATCGCAGCCTTTCCACTTTTATAAGGAAGTAAATCAGGGAGACAGTGTAAGCCCACTACTATTTATCCTCCTTATGGATGGGATATGGAAGGTGTGCAAACGGAGATACCCAAGAGCAGTAGTAGGTTTTTGGAACCTAACTCCAGTAATGGCTCAAGCAATGATATCGTACTGATAGCTGACTCTGAAGAGGCTCTTCAGGCATCATTTGATGAATGGAGTGAGGAACTGAAGATAAGAAGTGAACAAATAAACCTTAACAAAAGCAAAATCATGTGTTTCGGATGAGAAAACAGTGAGCCTAAGAATTTGTGTAATGGTGAACCCCTAGAACTTACGAATACTTATTATCTAGGGACCATAATGAGTAAAGATAGTAATATAGACCAGGAGGTCCTAAATCGAGTGAAGAATGGATTGTACCATCAGATTTCCGAAACTATTATAGGCAAGCAAAAAGTAAGTAGAGATGCCAAAATACGGATATTTAAATCCGTATTCCTCCCAGTTCTCCTGTATGGATCAGAAAGTTGGACAGTCCTCGACAATCACATAAGTATGATAACATCAGCAGAAATGAGATTACTCCGAAGAATAGTTGGTAAGACTAGGAGGGACTGCGTCAGAAATGAAAGAATTTGGGAGGATCAGGATGTTAAATCAGTGTGCAACACCATGCAAGAGTGGCAACTAAAATGGTATGGACACGTCTGTAGAATGGACGATACCAGAAAAGCCAGATAGTTTTTGGAAGCTGGGCCAGAAGGAAGACAGCCTCGTGGCAGACTCAGATGCTTGTACTCTGATTACATTGGAAAACTGGGGGCAGCAAGAGGATGCACCTTTCTGAGGATGAGAAGACTGGCCAGGAACAGAGACCTGTGGGCTAGATGGACTGAGATTGCATCTACCAAGCTTGACAGCACCCAGGAGTTAGAGGAAGAAGAAGTAGTAATAAAATGAAAATTAAACGTTTTAAGTACAAGTTTCACACACTCACACATACATTATGTAATAAAAAAAAAAATACTTGCAGAACACCATGACAAGGTCATATTTTTTCTCATTTTTGTTTAGGAAACAGATTAAAATTTATTAGGGTGAGAGAGAAAATCTGAGAACCCCAAACAAATCTAAGACAACGCTTTTATAAGATCTACTCCATTCACATACCAATTGAGAGATAATGCAAAAACACGCTTGGATGTGATGAAACTTACTTAAAACTTTTAAAATATTCTTTGACTTAGAAAACAATCCTATATACCAAATTCCAGCTCATTGGATCAAAATTAAGTAGATAGGTCTGAGTAATAAGAGGGGAAATCATCATTTAAATTTACTAAATAGTTCCTTCTTTCATCTTTCATAATTTTTTACAATTAATTTGTGGTGGCCAAGGCATATGATAGTATAAACTGGGAAGAATTACTGAAGGCAATAATAAAATTGGGGATCCCCAACAAACTGGTCACTTTAAAAAGAATGACCCTAAATAGTAGCAGATCACTAGTTAAGATGAGTGGCCTGTTGACGGAGGATTTTGAGATAAGAGATGGGCTCAGGCAAGGTGATCCTCTATCTCCTACTCTATTTAATATTGCTTTAAAGTATGCAATAAGGGTATTTGAACGTCTCCTGGTGGCACTATTTATAATAGGATGACACAGCATCTAGCTTGTGCTGTTGACATTATAATAACAGTAAGAAGTGAAACAGTTCAACATGTTTTGTATCTTTTGTAGCCCTGAAGACGACCTGCAAAGTGGGTCGAAACGTCGGCAAAAATTAAAATAATTTATATATTTTAATTTTTTTTATTTATTTGACCGCACCCTCGACTAACTCCTTCTCATATTATATCAACGGTCAACCATCTCTACATCATTATAAAGTTATCTTTGTATATTATTTCTCAAAGATGCTATTTTATATCTTCATTAATTATTTATTGAATCAAATTATCGAGCCATCACTTTGAAGATCATAAATTCCTTCAGGTGTGAAAAATAAACACATCGCCAAGAAATGTCAAGAGAAAATTATGAAAAAAATGAGACTTAATTTCTGTATAATTCAAAAATATATAATTTGTGATCGATTAAACCCATAATAATTGAAAAGATTCCCAAATTCCCTATAAAATAAAAAAAAAAATATTGAAGTCAGACTATTTTTCATTAAGACAGTCACTTTAAAATTATACACGTTTTGGTCTAGTATTTTGAGTGAATATTAATACCTTCCTTGGGAAATCAGGGATAATTAAAATTTTTAAAATGTTTTATTCCCATCACCACGAGCACAAAGAGAATACCAAATAATAGTCTCACTAAATTACAACCACTTCTTTATTTTTTAAATCTTTAAAATATCTCGATTAAGAGAAAATTGGATAACAATATAAATTTTAGGGTTAAAACATATCCTTCACAATAAAATTTTATTAGTTAAATAAACAGAATTTCATATTTACCTCAGCTCTTTGAAATATTGTACCATGCTCAATCTCCTCTTTAGAAATAGTTGCTGGAGTTGATTTAAGAGTGAGAGCAACAACTCTTGGGTATGGAAATTTGTAGAGGACGGTTGCAGTATGCTTTGAACCAACTTTATAATCTTCAGGTTTGGACCACATTGAACTTAGCTGAGATGGTTCAATGTAACCATTTATGTCACTATTATTGACAGTTACCATTAAATTTTCTGACACCACCTAAAAATAAATTAGTAATTACATATAGCATGATAATAATTAATGAAAACAATAAATTAACATTAATCTGTGCATATAAAATACATCTTATAGAACTGACCTTGTTGATAGTAACTTCAACTCTTACTCCAGGATTAAGTTTCTCTATAATAATATCGTTTTCAATTTTATTATTTTGAACTTGTTCTAAATCAATTGTCACATGTACAGTGTTAGATCCTTCTGTAAGTTTAGATTTTGTGACAAGGCACCATAATATCTGTCCAATATCTGGAACATAAATAAATATAGATTTTAATGAATGGTGGTCAAAAAGTAATGGGAAATGTTATTTTTTGAAAACAATTGTTTTCATTCATGTATAATGTTATCACTTCCAAAGCAGTTTCTTGTAAGTTCTATAGATTTGAATGTCAACTGGCTTCTGGCTAGCTTCAAGAAAATATTTATGTTACTAATGAATGTATGTGAAAACTTAGTATTCGAAAATTAGTAGTTAATTTTTTTATTTTATTAATGTATTCATATTTGTAACTGTATTCAAATAAAATACATCTAATAAATGTGCAAGCAGGAATATAATTACATGGAAACGCTTGTTGAGAAAATATCTACTGGTAGTACCCTAAGTAAGAAGATCACGAGGCCAACTTCTTTTCAGACGTCTCGGAGAGTTTTCAGGGATCGAGAAGGAAGCAAGGTTTGAAATGAGAGGGTTTGGATGGTTCTGGAAGTATAGTTATTTGGATTGGGCCATATCGGAAACATATGGTACATTAAGGATGATTTTATTTGTGACAAAGTAAGGAGCATTGAGGTTTGCAAGGATTGGAAACGAGAGGAATTTGATGGATTAGTTGAGTCCTAAAACTCAATTCTGCAAGTCCTAATAGGCTTTATTATAGTCTCATATATGTGAGTCTTTTGTAATTAATTGGAAGCTGAGGGCGTTTGTTTAGTAAGTGCTGGAGTAGTCGGAAACACTAACACTGAACGGTTTCAAATCGTTTCAGTCTTGTATGAGGATTTCAATTGAGTATTTTGTTCAGGTCGAGTCCTAGATATCATATTGTTCAATTTGTTGGGATAAGTGGAAAATTGGTTTGCCTTATAAGCATAAAGGCTCAATAAAGAATGATTTGTTTGATGAAGTAAAAAATGAAAAATATTATAATGTAAGAACATATTGTCGGTTTATTGCAAAAATACACTAAGTTTAATTTTGATGAAGCTGGACTTCTGAGAACGTTTAAGTGAATTTGTATCATATTTATTGATAAAAGACACAGTAAATGCACAAACTAAAATGACACAATCCTTTTAATATATCAAATATTATTTCAGTAAGTGCAGAATTGACAGATTTCACAAAGAGAAAATTTATCAAAGTACTTAGTAATTTTTTCCAATAAAGTGACAACATTAACTAAATAGAAAATAAAATCATAGATACTTACCCAAGGGCTTAAATTTTCTAACACTATTAATAAAAGATTTAGCATTTTCATTTGGTAAAAAGCTTATGAGGCCATTGATCCCAGAGTACATCGTGTAACCATGGTCTTCATTACTCAATACAGCCATTTGTATCAGGCTTCCAACACCAACATTATCAAAAGACATGTGACCATTCACAAGTTTAGGGTCAGTGCTTACACGAACTAGATAATGGCCTGCATTTTTCACACTGAGCACTGAACAAGTTAGATGCTGTCCAATATGAAAGATATCTTTAAGGGATAAAACCTACAAAAATAAATAAATAAATGTACACCCATTAACATTAATTATTAACAGAGACGACATGGCTCTGAATAAAAGAGCAAGGACATAACCTACTTAAAAAATTTATTTAAAAACAAAATTATGGCTTAAATACTTAAATAAATATAAATTTCTGACAAAATAGAATTTTCTATAAAATTTTAATGCAGCAAAAAAAAAAATTAATAAAGAAAATAATCATGCCATCACTTCTAAAAAATTCTTCATTAAAAGATACAAAATTAGGAGATTAGATATTAAAAGACAATCCAAGTTTAAAATATCTTATTGACCTTTAAAAGAAGTTTAAATAAGAACTGAGTTTAAAAAAATTATACCCACCCCTTGTTTACCCCCTAAAAAAAGGTTCTGTTAAAGTATAGCTAAATTGAATATTTCTTTTATTGTAAACTCATGTAGTTTTCTAAAAAACACATATTGATTTGATTTTAGCTGTAAATAAAATAAATGTATAAATTGTTCTTACAAAAACTGTCTGACAGCCAAAAGAGAAGGAGAAAGTACATTATTGGAGACAACTGTAGAAAGGTCGGACTAAAAAACATTTCAGCCTTTAAGGGTGGTTACAGGTATGTGTGAATTTGGGTTTCAATTGGAAAAAAGAAACTGTGTGTAAACAAATCTCTATACAAATTGTGATTTGCATAAAATAAAACGAAAGTGAGATGAGTTTTACCTGTTGTAATCAAGGAATAATACAAATATATATTTGTGACTAGACAAAATGTGGGGTAATTGACTTTTATATTATAAGGTGGATGAATATAAAATAAAAGAACTGAGCCAAAATAAAAGAAAAATCAATAGTAATGAAAAGATTTATCAGAAAAATGCCTCATCTACATAAATAAGGGCAATCTATATCTTCATTATGATTATAAATAGGGCAACACTGAGAACTAAGGCTAATATGGTAAGTGTATAAAATAACACTGAAAATTTCCAATTTAAAAAAAAAATACTTTTATATATTTCAGTTATTTGTACTTACATTTTTACTACCAGCTTGTTTTTTGGTAACTTCATTAAATGGTTCAGATACATTTTCAACATATAAACGTGCTGACAGTCTACCAGGCATACAAATGTCAACATAATTGTTACAAATATCCCTCACACTACAAAATGCTAATGTTCCTTCAGAAAGAGCCTAAAAAATAATAATAAAATAATTACTGATTTCATGGACTATAACGTTATAAAAATTTTTACATTATATTTAAAAAAATATCAAATTCAATTTGGTCTTATACATTTCGTTAATCAGGTTTCCTAATTTAAAAAAAAATAGCAATATTCCAGTTCAAAAAGAGAGTACTCACTGTATCATTAAAATCTATATTTTTATTGCAATATACTCACAGTTGATATAAATGAGCCACAATAGTTTGTGGAAACAAAAACTTTTATTTTAAATTCTATGAATTTACATCATTTTCTAGGAATCTTAATCCAGTACTACTGTACATATGTCACTACACCCCATAAATGGAATTGGGAAAATCGTCAAGTGTGTCTGAAAATGACAGAAGGGCCCAACTTTAACCAATAAGGACATGTTGGGAATTTGTTTATCCCTTCTGAGCGACCACAGCGTGAGAGTTTCAATAAGGACGGGGAAAGTAGCAATCTATTTAAAGCTCATTAAGGCCTCAATTTTAATTTAAACGAACCAATCAGGAGTTCTTGCAGTCGTAAATAGCAATTTAAACTGAGGGAGTTCATACACATGAAATATCACCATTCCTTGGCCAATCTGGAAATCTAATTTAGAGTATGATCATAGGATATTAGCCCACTCGGAAAAGTGGTGTGACATTCATAGATTGGTGCCCTATATTTTTCTAAAGATTTTTTTTTCTATTCCCTTGTACATACCACTGGCACACAAAAATACATATGTACATAGGGCAACATTGGCAACCTGGGATTGAAATGTAAGACATTTATATTAAATCTAAGCAAAACCTGAAAAAAATCATAACTTAAAAGAGATCAAGCCAGCAAAAGAAACAAGATAACCATGTTGATGATCATATGCATATACAATATATGAAAGTCAACCATGATGTATATTTTCTGACAGTGTAAAAGTTAAGCTATATATTTTTAATGCCTCCAGAAGTCATTACGAATAGTAAGAATGAAAGTTAAAACTAAACAAAATGAACTTATGGCCAATATAAGATCTTTCAATCAACGACAAAGCATTCAATGTGATACATTCAAATTGGTTTTACATAATAATTAAATAGAACATCAACAGGAAACAATGGGAGAGATAAAGTTGATGGGCAGGAATATTTTTACTAAGTAGTTTGAGGTGCCATCAAATCTAAATCTAATTGTATTAAGGATAAAAAAGAAAGGTGTATTAAAATTACATACATTATAAACCAGGGGCTCAATCCTTGCAAATCTGACTTTGTCTTCATCTTGATTTTCAAATTCAAAAACTGCTCTTGCTTTCTTTTTTCTTTCTCTTCTACCTAACTTTTTTTTCATAGGTGTCACAATATTTTTGTTGTCAAACTGTAAAATGAAGAATAAATAAAAATATAACAAGAAAAACCACTTTATAATAAAATGTAATTCTCTAATAAAACTTACAGCAAAAGTCCTCTTTTTTACTAGTGGTTTGTTGAAACCAGATCCTCCTCTAGGAAAGTATTCCTCGTTTAAAGTCATTTTTAAACGATAAATAAAATGAAATAAATATATAAGTTATTGACAACTAAGTCCTACCACAACGTACCGAACACAGGTTATGTACTACACAAAACAAAATACACGTGGTTTTGAAACCTCTTTACTCCCTGGTGCTATCTCTTGGCTGAAGTTAGTGCTAAATGCAGTTTGCATGAAATGCCAAAAGATGGCGCTTCATAACTGTATCTTGAGAAAATTTATAAGTTTTTATTTACCCAATAGCGGCGCACAATAAATGAAAATCGACTTTTTTTCGAGAAAAAAAACTTGGGCAAGCCCGAAGCAGGCCACAGAAAAATAATTTTGATATCTTATTCATAATGAAATTTACACTAAGATAAATACTTTCAAGTTAGATGTTAAAGTTGGCTCAAATTATACATTAAGATCCCGTGAATGTTTTGAAACAATTTGGCCCAAACCACTGGCATATTATTAATGTTTTCTTTTTACTGAATTGCCTAATCAAATAATTTTTGCAAACATTATTAGATAATTCTTACAGTTTTTACGTATTTTTCCTTTGATTTATAATGCTACTCGGTTATATTGTCAATTTTAAAGGAGTGAAAGGAAGAATATCTATATAAATTGGTAGGGTTGATAAATTAATTGATTTAAATTTTATGAAGGTTGCAAAATTATTATATGCTTCATTTAAAAATTTTGGTCCCTGGTCAATAAAAGGGTGAAATCAAAAGCAGAAGTAGTTAATTTTTTTCTCATGATCTATTCTTTTGGAAGCCTACTTACAACCATTCATTGTTTAGTAAAACTTTAATTAAATAACCCAGAAAAAAATAAAATACTGTTTTCTGGAGTGTTACCGGCGTCAGGACCGGGCAAATGCCAGGAGGCTCTGGCCTAGAGGGGCGACCGTTAAGGGCGCCGATCATCAGGAGTACTCGCCACTTATTAAAATTTGAAAGAAAAAAAAAACGAGAAGATTTTACTTCAAAACGAGACGATTTTAATTGTTTAAAATATTTTTTATAGTTTTGAAAATCTCAAAATACGCCATTTTAAATTTTGTAAATAAATACACGATATTCATATCTACACTGTTCAGATTGGACAAGTTCCTAATCTCAGTTTTGGTGGGATACATCGATGCAACAATGGGATACATCCGATACAACAATGGTATCGGATCCCTGTAAAGCCTTATGCTATCCTTAATAAAAGCTCCTACGCGATATGTCCCGGCGATATGACAATCTTTGTCGGGTTGTATGTTGTATGATTTTTATAATGCAATGAATAGCAATACAATAATACAACTATATCGCCATATCACCGCAGACAGGAATACTGTAGTACTCTGTGTGTCTTTAGGTACAACTTTATAAGTGTCTATCAACTTTTATGAGTGGGCACAAGATCATATGATCACATTATAAATGGAATTTCGAGAATGACCGAGTGTTGACAAAGTATTCATGGGCATGGCCTCCTTCTATTTAGATCGCTATATACGAGTTCCACAAACCACCAACAGACCCTTTTAAGTTAAAATCGCTGTTTCCGACTTCCGCTCACTACGCTCGTTCAAAAAGGATACAAACACTTTACGTCCTTTTCAGTTTAAACCATGAGATCTTGTATCCGTCTATTTTTGTGCCATTTAATTCAAAACGAATAGAATAGTAAGAATTTTAGATTTCATAGACACAGGTAAGTGAAAGTGAAAATATAATATTGTTTACAGAATGAAAGCATACAAACAAACATAATTATTGTTTACATATTTTATATTGTCATAGCGATTTATTTTTATTTTAATGATGTTAGAGCAGCAGTTCATAACAGGTTAAAGATATTCAAGTAGATTACTTGAAATTTATCGAGTTGGGTATTAAACAAATGTGCCTGCGTTTCTGAGGCACCTATCAATGCTAGTGGGGAAGGAAATAGGTGCCTGCGCCGAGAGGATATAGGACTCAGGGTCATCGAGGTGGGCCAAAGGTCATGCAGAACTTCCTTGCACAGCGGTGAGCCTGCATTCCTCATTACCATTCAGCCATAGAGCTGTCTGTCAGCCGATCTATAATTATTCTAGCTTATCTCATCCACAACGGGACACAGCACAGCAGCTGCATCTAAACGTCAGGATACTGTCAGCCAATGAAAATTATTAGAGCCGAGAACTCTGCATGTCAAGACAGATCGATGACTTCTGGTCGCAGTATGCGTCAACAGCTTAATTTAAATAAATGCCAGTTAACTTGGGTCAGTGTACCTGCTAATACCGCTTGTGTATCACCGATCTGTGTTGAAAAATATATTTATTAAATTTTTAACCATTTTTAAGGGTGAATGAGGAATTATTCCTGTATATTATGCACTTGTCTTTACCATTCTACACCAACATAAAACCAAGAAGAAATTGATCAGGTGAAGGATGATTTCTACAGTCAGTTAAAAATTTTGCGGACCAGCACGGGCGGATCTACGGGGGGGGGCCTTTCGGGCTGAAGCCCCCTCCAAAATGGTAAAATATAACCATGTTTTATGGAAAAAAAATTTAAAAATACCTCTTAAAGTATTATTATTCGTGTGATTACATTTAAAAGGACTTAAGCAATCATTTAAACACCATTTCATATAGGTAGTTATTTTCTTTCTGTTTTTCCAAATTAATTATCGTTATTTTTATGAAAAAAAAGCTTTCGGGCTGAAGCCCCTCCCAAAATTAAATCCTGGACCCTCTAGTGCGGTCCAGGCACATAAAAATGACATGAAATTGGACATACTGGACTCCATGCCAAGATAGAACGAGAACCCCAATTTAAGCAAAGAGGTATTTCCTATTAAAATGCGAAAAAGCGGTACAGAAAAGAAAATCTGCTATGTTCACTCACACGACTTTCCTACCTATTTCAGAAAAGTTTTTATATATTTAAATATGTCCATTACGAAAAAAGAAAAAAAAATTAACTTAGATTTATTTTCCTGAAAATTTATCAAAGAATAAAATTATGTGCGATTTCTTAGATAAACTAAAGCAATGTAAACCGGGTTGTATAAGATCAGTGTAAAAAATTCAATCCACTCTAATATTGCTAAACAAAAACTTTTTTATCTTAGCCCAATTTTTTCGAACAATAATTTCTGTTAAAAGTCGAGAGAAAATGTGTGATGCGGGCAACAGATTTTCTTAATTTCACTTACTTTAATTTTTTTCCTCTCATTCACCGCTTAGACCCATATTCTTACATACGAAATTGAATTGCTGTAACTTTGTTAATAGTCAGAAATGAACGATTTTTATGTAGATTTGTAGGGAATTTCGTTACCTCAGGGGGCTCTGAAAGAACGAAAGAAAGTAAATTTTATTCTGGGACATTTAGTTCCCTCAGAATAACTACAATGAACAGATAAATGACAATTGTGAATAATTAAATGAATGTAAATAAATTAATTTACAAAGGTGTCTAATCGTTATATTAAAATAAAGAAGCATGTAATTTTTTCATAATATTAAAAGTTCTTAATATTAAAAATAAAAAACGCTGTAGTAAACATATGATCTTGAAGTAGACATATGAATTTAAAGATGATTACCTACGGGTGAATTCACGTATTGGTACAAATAAAAAATATGACACATACATAGATATCTGCAAGATATCGGTGTAGTGGAATTGACATCTCTAAAGTACAAAATAACTTTATTTTACATATATTCGGAAGATTGATTACTGAGGAGATGGAAAAATAAATTATGTTTAAATGAGGTCAAGGATGAGGATTTCCGTAAAGAGGTTGATAGGGAATTCCAAAACGAGTTAGCACGTATGACGAAGGATTTTTTAAAGGAAACAGTTCTATGAGAAGGAATAAACAAATTTGAGGATTGGATCTCGTGTTGAACGAATGAACAGAGGAACAAGGAGTAAAGAAATCAAGAAGGTAAGAGGTTTTTTGGTTGTAAAGGTTCGGAAAAGGAATACACCTAGGAAATATTGCCGTCGGAAAACTGGATAGAGCCACTTCAACTCGGCATAGCAACTGGGGACCTGGGAACGTCTGTGGACTCCAAGTATAAATCTAATTAAACAATTCATTAGCCTCTTTAATCTAATCTCAAGTCCACCAGACAGTTCACCGAATACAAGGCAGCCATAATCGAAGTGTGAGAAAATGAGAGAGGAAACTAAGAGCTGACGGATTTTAAGGGGCATAGAGTCACCGGATCTCAGGAACTGTTTGAACTGTTGGAACCCTCAAACTTGCTGCTACCCAGCAATGGACTTTCGGATAATTTGGGAAATGTTGGGGGATTATTCCAGGTCAGATGTTGATCAAACATTGCCCTGAAACGTATAGATCACTCGAAAACCACATGTTAGAAATTAGACCCGATCGCAATACTTTCCTTACCTAGTATAGGTAGGAAAGTAATAAATTAAAACTTGTGTAGAAAATCAAATACGCTGTATCATCGCTAATACTAGTTCTATTCCGACGATTTTTGTTTTTGTTTTGTAGGTAATTTAATTACCTTTCAAAAGAGTTCATATAAATGTTATCATATAATACATACTTATTGAGTTAGGCCCCAAAACATTTTTCTTTTCTTTATAACATTTGTTTCTGCATTTTTCGAGAATTTAGTACATGTACAAAAATTGAAAGGACATTAATCAGAAAATAATAAGAAAGTTTCATCAAAATCAGTAGAGCCGTTTTAATGCTAGAGTCTAGAAAAAAATATATTTTTCACTTATTGCGCAGCCACTATTGCGAATGGAGCACCCAATTTGTGTCATAGGCATCAGTAGTCAAAACCCTACGAAATAAAAAAGAAGCAACAAAATCGGTCTGCTAGTTCCCGAGATAATTTCACAGACAGAAAGTCATACCAATGGCTGAAAATGTGTTTTTCGGACTCAGAAGGTTCTGAAATGTATAGATCAGTCGAAAACCGTATGTCGGAAATCCTACCTAGTATAGGTAGGAAAGTAAATAAAACATTAAAATCTAATATCTAGCCGAAATTCATCAAAGTAACTGGACAATTACAGAGCCGCCAGAAAAAGACTAAGTCATAAGATCGGCAAAAAAATTAATTCCTCAAAGAAATATTAGGATCTA